AACCCCACCCAAGCCCACCCGGTTTGAGACTCGCAGGCCTCAGCCTATCTAGCGCCGAGACTGGGCCTCACCAGCCTGGGCTCAACCAGTCCGCCTGCAGGCCTGTCTGACGTGTCTGAAACTGGCCTCAGGCCCAGCCCAGCCATAGCCCAGCCCCCTCAGTGCGGCTGCCCAGCCCGCCGTAAACTAGCTTCAGCTCAACCAACAACCCACGCAAGCAAGGTCCAGCCAAGCTGCCCGAGACAGCTTCAGGCCCAGCGCAGGCTTATCTGATGTGTCTGAGACTAGCCTGTGGCCCAGCCCAACCAGGCGAGGCCGGCTTGTCTGACTTGTCTGGAGCCAGCTTCAGGTATTCGGACCTTCCCAACACTGGATTTCGGTGTTCCTGACCCTTCCCTCAAACTAGGCTGGGCCGAGGCGGGCAACGCGAAGCGTTTACAATTCCAACTGTTTCACCACTAACAGCTCAAAATGCTTTGCCTTGAGCGCCCTGAACAAGTGGCTTGCCAGCTAAGCAGAAAAGCTGGCGTGCGTTTGCGACCAGTTCCACAAACATTCCTGCGTGGAGGTTTCGTGAATCCACACATTCTGGGATGATATCTCAAGGCTCCCCTTTAGAAATCGAGCACCAAAATAGGTGCGTGACCTAAAGCTAGTCCACAAACTGATGTTTCAACTGGCTCCAAACGGAGAATTTGGAGACCCCTTAATCTATACATCATGCATCGACCGCCTCAGGAAAGCCCTGGTTCCCCGGCAACACAGGGACGCTGAGACCCCGTGTTTGTCAGCAACCAACAAGGGCTCCATCGGAGCGAATTGCATGTGTATTCAGGGTATTGGGCAATGAAGCCGGTGATTGAAAAGGTATGCCCCGACACACATGCACAGGCTGACCACTGACAATGGGCCTGTTCAGTGTCAGGTTGGTCCTATTCAGCCGGCCAACGGTCTTCTCCTTCCTAAGCTCGAGATCGCAATGGACCCGCGCATCCCAACTGCAGAACAAAATGACCCTCCCTTCCTCTAATATGGCACCTGTTGGGTACCTGGAAGATCATTTTCCTCTTGTAGGGACCCCCTGGAAGATCCTTTTCCTCTAGGGGCCCGATTCCTCTCTACGGTGCCATGATACTGGGAGGGAGGGTACCCACTGCCTCCAACAACTTTTTCACCCTGGGACCCATGACCTAAAGCCTGATTCAGGCTGATTGCCACGGAACTCCGCATCTTTCCCAGGCCCAAAAGTTCTACTCGCATCTCCGGCGATTGAAAAATGGCACGGAGCTCTTCTCATGTGTGATAACGCAAAGAATCAGAAGGAGCGGCGTGTGAGGCCCCCCGCGCTCCCAGCAAAGGTCTCACCAAGCTTCGGTGGTAAGAAATGAAGGTCTGGAGCTTTCCCGGCCGCCAAAGTGATCTTCATAGGGATGGCAGTTTGCAAAAACCCAGGGCACCTTTTTGACAATCTTCTTTTGGCTGATTTTATGAAAATTAAAACTCATAGCTCACTCAGATGCAAACTTGCTTCCGCTGGGTTTGGCCCTTAGCTTTCATACCCCTGCCGTCCTGTTGGCAAGTCACACGAGGGTCCTCCTTTTGAAACCTTGACTAGAAATGGCAGCCGAAAAGTAGAACAACAAAAGATCAAAGGGAGTTCAAAGAGAACGGTTTCCTTTCCCCAGATCGAACAAAAACCCTCATGTCTAACAGGGGGGTCTTTTTGCCACCTTGTGAGAGAAAAGTGGCAACCCCCTCAATCTCAAACAGGAATCCTTCACAAGGGGGCCCGGGGTGGCAAAAAGATACTCCCCTCCACCCTTCCCCAGATTAACCAACAAAAACCCGGCATGTGTACCCAATTTGTGGGTTTTTCGGCGAATTCCCTTCGGAGAAAATGGCGGGAGACGTGTGGCTCTCCAAGCGTCACTCCGATGAAGACGCGCCACCGCGCCCAGCGTCCGCGCGCCACGGCGCCCTTGGCGGCCTTGGCACCCTTGACCCAAACGAAGCAAATTGCCATATGAGTCGCAATCAAAACCCGGTACAAAAATGGTCGACCCACAACCATGCTTCAAGAACCAAGGCGGAATTCCGCAGCTAGTTAGGCTGGGATCGTCCCTTACCAACCTTCACTTACCCGGGTTTTGATTGTGGCTCATATGATGCACATGAATCCTCCATGGATCTGGAGGATTCAAGTCATAAAACGTCTAAACATATCTATATATAATTATATGTATAAATGACAGATTCGTTAACATAGTGACACAAATGCCAAACATGATCATATCTGACCATACTGATCAGAGGAATGACCTCAAAATGGCAAACACGAAACATAACAACAACATTCCCATTAGCCGCGTGCTTCCCTCTGACGAAGACACATCAACAACACCGAAACAGTGCTTGCACATCGCTGCCCCCAAACCACTCCCACCCAAAACCGCAACACGTAATGTGTATACCCTACAAACCAACATTTTTCATCCCAAACGGGGACCGGTCCCCGATTTTGATGATTTGTTTGGGCTGTCCTCACATCCCTTGCTAAAAGTTTCACTTTGAGCCACTAAACCACAAAGGCAAGAACCTGAGGAACCGGATGCCTGGGAACCACCCAGTCTTGGAGTCCCATATGGGTCAAAATTAAGCCACCTGGATATGGAGAACCTGCGGTTTTTGGTCCTTGGCTCCATTTATCCGGGTAACCCGTTTTGGGGTTACCCCATTGTTGACCCATAGCCATGTCTTGTTTCACCCACAGCCAGTTGATGAGTGTTTTTGGAGTCCCGTGTCCGGCCTTGGGCATCACGCGCGCTCCGCGATCCGATGGATGGCGCGATGATCCGGCTCGCGGCGCGGGACGGCTCGCGGCGAGATGGCAGGATGGAGTGATGGCAAATGCGACTGGATGAAGTGAAAACGTTTTTGATAGGAACGTTTGTAAGAGGAACGTTACCAATCCAAATTGAAGGAACCTTCATTGAAGGGCGAACGTTTACAAAAGGAACCTTCAAGGGACCTGAGGTCCCTGAACCAAAACCCCTTGAAAGTGTAATAGCTCTTGAACAGCTTGCGTGAAACAAGGACCTGGCTACACCAAACTTGTGCCACGCAGAATGCGGCTCAAAAACTCAGAAGCCCAGTGTCGGAACCAGGCGAAGGCACTGCATGTGGCACTCAAGGTGGATAGGACTGCTAAAGTTACCGAACATGCCTAACAGTTATCCAAATAAAAAGCCCTTCAGGTCAAACAATATCTGCATATTGCTCTGTGTCATCGTTTGATAGGAGCCACACCTCCAAGTAAAAAAGAAGAATCAACGACCTTTCGCTTCTCCATGGTTCCAAGCTAGCATTCCGAATATGTTCTCGACTCAATTGCCCACAATGCTGGCCTATCCTTCTGAAAATAAAGGAGCATGGAGCCCTGGTGTTGCTGGCTGACTTTGAAGAGCGGCCAACAGAAAGGGAAAAGGCTGGCACTAACCCGCCCGACAAGGGGCCCAACAAAGTGGAAAAGTGTGTAAAGCTTAAAGGTGTCCGTGAAACGACTTCGCCCGGCGCCTTTTCAACTCTCGCGGCGCACGCAAGAGTTGCTAATGGGGCATCTGGCGCTCTGTTTCGGCCGCGCAGCGGGACTGCTTCCGACTCGTGATCCTTTGGACTTCAGTGGCAGCAAAGCATTGGTACCCACTCCACCAGTAAAACGAATCCCACCAATAGATTGAGCAACATGATCGATTTGCGGAAGTACAGAGTTGACCCCTGATGTGCCTCTCGCAGGGTTGGATCCAACACATGACTTAGAACATCTAAGGAACCCCAGGTGTTGCTCTGTTGTCTGATACCCCCCTGTTGATTAGGGGGGTGTTCCCCTGCAAAAATCATTCAACAAAAAAGGGACGCCCCCCATATTAATAAGCAGGGACTTATCCATCCGGGGTCAACGTTAAAGTCCAGCAACTCAGGAAATGAGCCTTTCAAACCCCCAACGGCTCCATCCACAACTCGCCCATCTTGAGCACGCAACCCCAACACGTCGCTTCGCTCTTCCGTGCAGCGATCCCGCCACGCCGAGCCAAAAAATCGAGGCAGCTCGCCGAGCCAAAAGAGATCGGCTTCGCCCAAGTTCGGAGCGGGAAGGAAGCCATGCAGAATCCTGTCTTCCGATTCCCAGTTTGACCTCCGCTTTCAGGGTCCAAGAGCCAGTGCCTGAAAGGTCCGGGAAGGTCAGGAGCAAAATGGCGAATCCTCTTGTGGGGCAACGTTCAATTCCCCAGGTCCCTCACACATTGGCAATAGACTACTAGATGTTGCCGGGTAAATTGCTAAAAATTAAACCCGAAAATATGGAAATTCCGGGAAAGGGAGCTGCATGAGCATGAGCTCGTTCTACCGTGAGCTTGTTACAATGCGCCCAGAAACATGGAAGTCGCTAGAAGGCCCCTTCAATAGGAATATGACAATCAGGTTACATGCTAGTGGGAGGGAAATTGAATCAAGTAGGCGAGCGAGTGTTTTTGTGCAGCGCACTATGGCTGTACATAGCTATTGGGCACGAACTAACCCCCAACACCCTTTCTGCCGTTTATCTCATACTCTCCCCCCGGCAAAAAAAACAAAACACAAAAACGATGCAATTGTTTTGACAGAACCCCACGCGGCTTTGAGCAAGGGGAAGACCCAGGGCCAACGACTGAAGAGCGGCAATTTCGAAGTGTCCATTCTTCAGGCTTGGTCTCTGGACTTCACCACAGCAGCGCCCGATTCCAGTTGACATCAATATGCAGGTGCAGTTCTACAGCGCTCTCTATCCGATTTCTGACCCCCCGCTAAAAGTGACTAACTGTTAGTGGGTTAAATGGAAACTACCACTAAACACTAAAAGTCTAAAAGGTTAAGGGCACGGCCGGGAACCAAGTACAATCATGCACGAACTTTGGGGAAGCTTTTTTTACAGGTAAAACACAAGTTTTTGAAGGTTCATATGGGCCTCAGGCAATCCCCATGGCTATGACTCGGTCTGGGGCACTGCTTACATTCGGACCCAGCCACTTTCTTCCGGGCCGATCGCATCACCTCGGTCTCCGGGCTGAACATGGGGGAGGGGGGCATCTATCACAATCGGGTTCCTATGGCCAGCACGGCCGAGTTTCCAGCCTTGTTCAAATGAGCATCCCTAGGCCCTGGGTCACACAAAAACTACCAGCTGGCAACCGGATCTACAATGAACAGTGTGTGCGAGTCTGTGGGTGAAAGGACGTTCAATCCCAAGGTGCTTCACCCACGGCCGTGCACCGCTCTTCAAACCCGTTTCCATAGAGGTGAGTCGTTGCCATGTCCTCAACAGATAGCGACCCAAATAATCAGGGATACAAACAAACGATGACACGGGAGTGCATGATCAGAACCATTGACATCTCTTTTGCCAGGGCAGGCAAGACCGCATATTTTGGATGGCCCACGCATGGATTCCCCCTTTGGGTCTCCTACTGTCTTGAAGGCTGGGTCCGAGGTCTTCCAAGATTGAATAGGTTAGCAGAATGGCGACCCTTTTTTGGGGACCGTTTGAGAGCTGCAAAACATTCCGAGTTGGTTTATCTTCGCAAATGCACGCTTGCATATCTGAAAAGTATATAGGGATGTAGATTCACATGTAGTTGCTTCCCAGCCCTACCGGCCCTATTGCTTCACAACCCATGGCTTAAAAAGTTTTAAACTGTTAGTTACTCTGGTTCCAGGGGTCACTGGATTTCCCATCCAAAAGTTGCGATTGACTGGCTTCCCTTGAAACTGCCGCTTTTTGGGGTCCAAAAAGGGCCGGAAATTTAGGGACTCCTGTCCAGCAACAGCTATACTCAGTTGCCCAAAGCATCCAGAAACAAAAGGTTAGCCTTTGGGGACTTTACACAACATAGACCAAACATGGTAAACCAAAAGGTCAGATCCCAGAGAATTCGCTTTGGGCCTCGGTGAGTCTAAACTCTGTTGCTTTCCGCTCCCCTGCTAAAAGTGACTAACTTTTCTAGGTTGAATAAAAAAAACCATTCGTTGGCACAAGCTTAAAGTTTCAACATCCAAGCAAACTGCAGTATACGTCTATTTTAGTAGGGGAACCCTTTTGGGGGCCACCGCCACCCCGAGTCGTGAAGAGACGATTGCGCCAAGAGGCAGCGCCAGGATGGCCTTGGCCAAGAGAAGCCGATGGCCCATACGCACCACTCCGATGGCCTCGCGTACGAGTCGACGGCCGGACAAGCGGCAACTGAGGGTTGGAGGGATATGGCTGTGAAACCCAGGAAATTCTTGGTGAACATCAAAATAGGTAGCAAATGGAGGTTCATCCACGCCAAAATGGAGCCATAGGTTATGGCCATGGGGATGCTTGGGGTTAATGGCAGGGTTGATGCAAGATTGCTGGAGGGCTTCTTTGGGGTTGCTTTAGGGCGTGTACCGAAACTGGACTCCCATCCCGATGACGATTTAGTAGTCCCTTGATATCACAGAAGACTGCCTAGGGCCAAGTTTCCCTGGCGCTTGCCTCAGGGGAAGTATTCAGGATGACGTGTGTTGACATACTGTATGTTGACCCTTTCTGGAGTTGCATGGGAGACCCGGGTAACTACACCTGGCTTGAATTGGTTGGAGCTGCTGTGACATTTCCGGGGCCGGATCGTTGTCTGCGAACCACCCCTCAAATTGAGTCTGCAAGGCTTCTTGATCCGGAGCAGCGAAAGGGGGCCGAAGGGGTACAACACGAGGTCGTTGAAAATAGGGGCTCTACTCTGTTGCGCGCTGGAATCCGTACACATATTGCAAGTAGGAAACAAACAAAACCCAAGATTCCATCAAACGCGGGATCCCCACCAGTGATGCATAGATGCGGCTGAATTGGAGTCGTATAGCGTATTCAAGGGAGGCATGCGCAGGCTTGGGGTCGCAAGAAGCCATGGGACAGGGTAACAGCAGAAATAGGGCCCAGAACATGAACCACATGACGCCCTGAACTCTGCTTTTGCTCATCTTACTTTGACAAAACCTGAGCATCACTTGAGACTGACACATCCGATTAGCTCTGGAGGCTTAAAGGTGGGTGGCCTCCGATTCCCAAAGCTGTGGCCATCCCGTCCCCTTTGCCACTGCCTCCATGCTCACATGGAGCCGGGATAATACATTATTTGTAGCCTTGTGAGTGACCACCCCCAAATAGAGGCTCGTGTTGATTTGCAAGGGAGTGGGGCGCCCTGTGCTTGGAAGCAAGCCTCTGGCAGAATTTGTGCCGGGCCTGCCAGAAAGTGGAGTCGATGCTGGAGAGAACGCCGCCCTCAGCTTGGAACAAACCAAGCAGCTCCCAGATTCAATGGAGCGTTCCACTCTACCTCGCTGGTTTGCTCCAAATAAGGCCCAAAGAAGGCCTTGTGTCTTGCTTTGGATCCTATGACTGCCAATAGTCAGCATCGGTTTGGCTTCCTTTAAACACCAGCCAAGTGGGCCCCAATTCATGGAACTCCCATGAGTCATGCAGCTCATGCAGCAAACAAGCCTTTGATCATGCAAGTATTGCAATGAATCAGGCAAAAAATGCCTGCGGACTCTGGCGAGTCGCTGCCTTTCTCCAGTTGTCCAGTCCCCCTTTGACACACTCCTTGGGCTTTGTTTGGCCAATTTGAGATTCTCCCAATGCCGTGCATGTTCAGAATTGAACATTGGAGGACCATTTTTTCTGCGATACCATGGCACGCCCTTGATAAATTGTCGCAAGCCAGCATCTAGATGATACTACAGAAAGGATAAATGTCCATCATCATGTTCCATCCTCGCCCCCCGGGCCAAAAACATATGCGACAGCACAAGCGTGAGCGTGTCAAGCAACCCCAACGAGCAGCAAGATGCTGTCCCTTTTCGGGCTGAAGACAACCTCAAGCCGATTCGACCTGCCTCAGCGTTGGCGAGCCTCACTGAAGTCAGCTGACCCAAGTCTGCATCGAACCTTGGCTCCCGCGGGCGAGAATTTAGCCCCTTGAACGGGTCAAGCAAAACAAATTGCGCTTTCGCATGCCAATCTGGCACCCCGCCGGTTTGAGCAACGTGGCGCTTAGGATTTATTTCCATGGTTTTTCCCTTGCCCCAGTTTCAGCGTGTTTCTTTTAACACATCACCAAGAACGGGTGCCTTCTTCCCATAGCTACCAGTACGTACTGACCGTGTTGAAATGCCCACCTTTTCTGGGTGAGTTCGAAGTCACCAAACCTAAATAAGGGACCCCTCACAAACAAACCTCCATCCCTGGGGGTTTGCCCATAAACCCCCTGAGATCGAGTCGCAGCAAGTGCAACTTTTAGTGGGCTACATGGAAACTTCCACTAAACCAAAAAAACAACAACAAGGAACCGGACCAAGCTTGCCCCCTTCCCCCCCTGTCGCGCCAAGAGACTCCTCCTTCAGCTTTGGCAAATACCTCGGCCGAGGGAAAAACCACATAAGCCTTTCACCTGACATACATGTGCGGAGACAGTATTGTCCAGACGCGATGGGTAAATACATGCGAGTGCGATACACAAGAAATGAATTGAGACGGGCAAACTACCAACTATCCATCACTAACAGACTAAGCCACATTAAACGAACCCCAAGAAGAACATATGCATGTTATCATGGTGTGAGCCTGTTGTGCCAGATGTTCGCAGCTGGGATTGGCGATGTGCATTGCCACCGACCGGACTCATGACGGCTCCTTTTCCTGGGGTCCATGTCATATCTCTTGGTAAAACATGTCACGGTTCGCCAAGTGGGAGTTACCACAACTGCATTGTTTTTCCGCATGCGCTCGAGCCAACTGCTCCTGCCGGTGGAATTCAGGATGCATCTTCATGCACAAATGCGCGTTACATTTTATGGCTTTGGGGCAAACAAGCCAGGAAGCTTTGGCCAACACAAGAAGACCCCCCCCAAGCTGCCCCCCCCCAAACGCGGAAGTGGTTGCCTTTTGCCCCCCCCCCCTTCCCAAGCTGCTCTTTGCTTGGCCCGCAAACCAAAAAAAACCTATAGGCTTCCGGCCACCGAAACACAACTGATGGGTGCCGAGGGGCTGCAGCAGCGAGCCTTTGCTGTCCAGGGACTCCAGCCAGTGTCGCATCTGAAGCTCCTGGGGTTGTCCCTGGGGAAAAACAAAACGGGACATGGGGCCAAATGGACCGTGCAAATCTTTAGGATGGGGGAACCAACAACCAAGTGCCGCGCTTTCCGTTTGCTGCTGAAAACAGCCTCAACACTAGGGTGCCAAAGGAAAAATGCTCTCAACTGGCAAGGAATTCCTGACCTAAAGGAAGCAAGGGTAGGAACCCTGTAATGTTGTTTTGGGCTGAACAGGGCTCACTACCTCCTCTCAGGTCTGAGGGATTGAACGAGTTCTTTGATACCACTGGTGTAGGCTATGGAACAACCAAATCTTCCATAGTGAGAACAACCCATTCAATGCACAACCTGCCACCTGTAGAAAGGCCGCCGTCTACCACACCAAGGCAACCTACACCTTGCCGGAGCCTGAAGAAGCGGGGGATATGGTGAGCTCCTTTGAGCATAACTTCCCCATGTTGCCAACTGCCCGCTGCGGCAGTCTCTGACACAAAGTGCAGTTTCACTTCCTTTGGCTGCTCCCCATGCCCCGTCCCACTGTGTCCAACGTTCGCCAAATCTCGAGGAATCAACGTTTAAACTCTGACACCCCAAAAATGTGATTTTCCCTTCAAAATCTCAGCTTTTGGAGGGAGTCAGTCCGGGAAAACAACTATAAAGCTGTAAGCAACCCTGTCTGTTGTCCAAGCGAATCGGCTCGAACCTGTGGTTTCCGAGCGTTGCCGCGATGAGGCATTCCCTCTGCTCCCATGTCCCCAAAATAAACGGCAAACAAGCACACCCCAAACCTAACAAAAACTAAGGCCTGCTATTGATGCCCCACCTGTTGGATCCCCCCTGGAAAGTGCCAGATCCGTGCCAAAAGAGAGCAATCATTTGCAGACTCCACTGTCAGGACATCTCCCCCAAGAACCTCTGGATTGGGACTCAGACTTACTTTGCTTTTGGTGAATCTCCAAACCGTCCACCACCATTGGAAAAAGTCTTTTTCTGCCTGAGGAGAAGGCAGCAAAAGGCCTGTAGAACTGGGCTTTGCCAAGCCCAGTTCAATGTTCTTAGACCTTTCGGAGCCTTTCGGGGAGTGAAAATAGGGGTACCCCATATGTTGATGGGTCCCTTCCTCTTGGTTTTCCTTACCAACCTAAAACCAAAAAACAACACAGACCCATTTTGCATGTGTCTGTCTTTTTAGACCCCCAACATAGTGGTGTTCAACTTCAGGTTTCCCTTTAAACTAAAGCCAACCAAAACGGGGTACGCTTAGAACAAGACAACCCCATTTGTGAGGAAATCGTCATGAGTTCCCCCATGCTTGCCTTCCAAAATAACACGGTGTGTCGACCATTTTCCAAAAGCTCAACACCCAAAGGCAGGGCTGTGGGGAATGACCACGTCTGTGATACCACAAAAAGGGCTTCTCAAAGAATACCTCGTTAATAAAAAGGGGGATTCCCTTGTATCACAGAAGTGGCGAGAAACCCCTTGATCCCACAACCCTGCCCAAAGGGGATTACAAGAGCCCAAAACCGGGGTCAGCGAAGGGGCATGACTTGACGCCGAGATCTCCTTCTCGGTTGCAACTTCCGAAGGCCCTGGCAAGGGGCCCTGAAACTCTTTGAGAGGGACCACAAGGGGTCGTCTACAACAACAAGCATACAGGATACATCCAAAAACCAATTGAACAAGGGGTCGTCTAAATCAGCTATTTGAGAGATTTGTTGACTAGCCCCAGCTGCTATCCTTTAGGGGGCCCTGTAGGGACCTGTGCCTTGGTCTTTTGTGGAAATGGCTGGGCCAAACTGAGACCAAACTGACCTGCCACTACCCTGGGAAATTCAACTTGCTACTGGGCTCATGTTGGTTTTGTTCCACTTTGGAATGCCTTACACCACTGCCAGCAGGAAAGGACTGACATTGATGGCGGACGCTAGAACCTCCACACAAAGCAACGCAACAACAAGACGCCGAGAGTCTCCACATCTTTCACGGAATGGGAAAAGGTTGGGACGTCTTGGGACGCCCACCATGAGGACACTTGTGGCGGGCAAACCGCTTTACAGACAATGTTGCAAAATCGGCAAGGGGACGTGACCCAGACAACTCCTAACCTATTGTGAGCTAACTACTTCCGACAACCCAACTTCCATCACTGGACCGTGCATTCACGTGTGGCGTGCAAGTTTACGATGCTGCAGTGAATTTTGCCTTGAAACAGCTGCCGCCAAACATCCTACATCAACATCCGCCAAACAAATGACTCCGGGTTTGGCCTAAATGCCTGGATTTCTGTGCATGTTCCGTTTGCACGCCTGGAAAGCCTTTGGCAATTTCCCTTCTTCGCGCTTCAGCCACCAACGCCGTTCTGACACATTGCTATCAGCCGCCAAGTCAGCTGCGGAAAAAACAAAAGGAAAAAAAAGAAGAAAACGAAAAAACACCTCAAGCTCCTCAACATAAATTCAAGTAGCTGGACGATTCATCACAAACAAACGCAGCTCCATATGTTCGCCGAGGATAGGCACTGTATATGTGCTGGGACTCTGTCCGCCTTAGCGGCTGTAAGCCATACTCTGCCTGGTTCAAAATCAAGGCTTGAATGGCTTTGACTGTCTTGTTGATGTCCAATGATGCCCGGCAAATATAACAAACACTGTTTGAGTAATAGAGACGCAAAACAAAACAGGCGTAAAACCACTAAAAGTTCGGTTCTGCACAAGTCAGCTCAGGAAAACGGCTGAACGTCCTGCCAGTTTGTGCCCGTCACAACTTAGACAAATGGCGAGTCATGTGTCGGTGGCTACGTATCAAAAAGAAGCGCTTTACAGGGACATAATGATGGCTTATTAGAGGAGGGTTGTGCACTTAGAGGAGGGTTGTGTAATTATGTCTGATCAAATCATGGAACAGGTGGGCAACTTTTGGCCACTGGGTTTGGAAGGGAAACCTTTGTATACAGTAAAGCCCGGACCCCCTGTCGCGCGATGACAGTGATCGCAAACCAGGGCATGCACTGCTTCACACCTGTGATTGGCCAACTGAGCCACTTAGGGTTTGCCTTGGAAAGGGCAAGCCTTGAAACAATCTCATTCTTGGTTTCTTCCCTTGCCCTCCCATTCACGAGCACAAGTAAAACGAGGTACAAACGCTGCAGAGAGCCCTTGGGCCACAAGCACTGCTCGGGCGTTCGGAATCTAACTTCATGGCCCTCAGCAGGACACATTGCGAGGTGGGTTTGCTAGCCCAGAAGCAATCCGCCGAATGGGCCCTCCAAACATCGCCCAACCAAAATGAACCTCATTGCACAAGAAGGCCCTTCCAAACATCACCCAACCAAAATGAACCTCAGTGCACAAAATTGCCGAACATGGTTTAACCGAACGAAGAGTAACATATACAATATATATACAAGGACTTCTGACTTTTTGTTTGGAGTGACTGAACTCGCAGGTGCCTGCCCATCCCGAACCGCGCCTGGTGGGGCGGCCTGAGGCTTTAGAACCTGGGCTGTCCGTTTTCCGATCCCCCGCCAAAAAGTGACTAGCTGTTAGTGGGTGACATACGGAAATCCAACCAATAAAAAGGCGAAAAGGCGAAAAGGCGAAAAGGCTAAGGGACCGGATGGCCTTCGGGAGCCAGGAACATCCTTGCGAGACCTAAAGCCAACCGACGAAACCCATGGCTGAAGACACTCTTTGTCCCTCTTACCTCAAGGCAGTCAGATTTTTCCCCGGCACGACGCCCACCAACTCGTCAACCGCCATTGCCGTTGGCTTCCCAAGAATTCCTCGCCGTTTCCCGCAAGGCGAGTATTCGGGCTTCTGCATTGGAAGCAATCAGCTCAAGACTCATGAAATCAAGGCGCTGTATTGATAGAGGACGAAATCCATATCGCACCACTTTGAAATCATGAGAAAACCATTGTTGGTTGGTATTTACAGGGGAATCTTCATTCCAGGGTTTCTTAGGTGGTGCAGGATTTCGTCCATCCACAGTAGAATGTTCACTTTGAATTAATTCCTCCGGATTGATCAAAGGCAGTTCTTTTTTTCTTTTGGTGGGAACGGACCTATTAACCTATACTTATGCTCAGGGTTTCCAAGTGCAGTGCCCCGGATTGAACCCAAGTCATCATTCTGCTCGTTTGCTCTACCTGCAGCAGTGCTCCTTTTGCATCCCCTTGAAGTGCTGCAAACAATTGGGGGAAATCGATGGCCCTGGTAAATGATTAAACCACCAGGTGAGCCAGGGCCATCTATTTTTCGACCAAAAATTACAACTACTCCCGCAACCAGAAATCCTTGCACCTCATACCATTCGCGCATATTCGGGCCAACATGCAAAGGTCTTTCAAGCCTTGCGAGAGCAAATCAGCACACAAGCTATGACCATGGCCTCAGCAGGAGCTGCAGCCTCCGTCCTTGGCGAAGCTGGGTGATTCATACACCTGAAATACCCTTTTGCATCCTGTTGCCGGACTGGACTTAATCAGTTTGTTGCTAGGTCCTCCAGTAGAGAGGTGAGAATACCCTTTTTTTGTGGTCTATTTTAGTAGGGGAACCCTCCCACAAAAAAAGGGTAAAAGGCCCTACTGGGGGACCTAGGTTGGATTGTTCAGAAGTTTTGGGTTGTTGTTGGAAGATGACGGGAATCCAATTTTGTTGGAAATGGTGAGATTGGGGCCGGGGGCCTTCTCCAACAAGAAAGTGATCTTCCGAGACCCTCTTGTTAGCTTCTATGATTATCGGTGGCATGCACGACCAATGAATCCTCCTGGAGCCTGGAGCACCCATTGTAACACACATTGTGTTGCGTAAAACTTGTGTTCGAGCCATGATTTTTCTGGATGATGGAAAAGCGCGCGGTCCTCGAACAACAGGCCGTTTTGGTGTTTCAATCTGTTCGGAGGAAGGCAAGCAATTGCTGCCATACTTTTCCAGTTTGCTCTTGTTTGCGAATAGTTGCGTTCGTTTTGCGGACACTTGCGCTCGTTTTGCACTTCAATTCCTGCTCGCTCCTTTCAACGACCGATCATGTTGGAGGACCGATGAGGCGGTTTTGGGGAAAACGCTCGAAGCAGGAAAAAATGTACGTTTACCATACTTTTGGTGATCTTGGGTGACGGCCATTGGTTTGCACTACGTTTGGGCTCAGGGAAGAAATTTACTGTAGGTAACGAAGGAAGCTCTAGGTTCCTAGATGAGTAAGACAAAAACCTTTGCTGAGGTCACCAGCAAACTTGCCCAAGAAAGGATCCAAGCCGCTCAGGACTCAGGATTTATCCACATTCGACCATGGTGCGGAAAAAGAAAAAAGGAAGACAAAAAACACTAATCCTTCCAAATTCCCACGGGTATGTCAGCGAAGGAACATTGTAGACTCTCAGCAGCTTCTACCGGTCATAAAGCAAGCAACCCAACAAAAAGCGAGTTCTCACTGAACCTGTCGTGTCCAATCCCATCCTTGGACAGAGATGGCAAGCCCTCATTGCACTGCATAAGCCCCGTTCCACAACCACAAGGGGAACACTTGCTAATCGAGATCACAGTGGCGGCTGATGCAAAGCCGACCCAGCTGTTAGGTCTGCGGTCAGCCATCGGGTCACGCCCTTCAGGCAGGTGAAGAACAGCCCACCAGCACACGGACAAAACGCGGCACAAAAGCAATTCAAAGGCGAGCTCCCACAGAAGGCTTTCCGCAAAGGACCACCTGTACCGCCTAAATCGCGTAGGGCCAAGCCAACAAGCAAATTGATTAGCTTGAAGGGGATCATCAGTGGACGGCTGGGAAAGGATGTGCCTAAGCCCGCCCCGATGTCCACACACTCGAGTTGCCCAGGCGGTGGTGTTGTTCTTCTGCGGCAAAGTCGCCAATCTTGGCTTAGGTGTTCGTCCCTTACAGGCAGTAAAACAAGCTTATTTTTAAGCTACAAAACAGCTCTGCCGGATCTTGCGCCATCCTTTACCCGTCTGCCTTCAGAAACCCCATGCTGAAGTAATTTATCAGTGTTGTGTCCGAGCAGCGGTCGTTTTGTAGGCGCCGCAGAGGGTCCTGCCAAGCAACCCAGTGCCTTAGGCTTGATTCGTGCAAGGCTTACCCCTCCTCCCTGGACTCCAACAATGGAGTCAAAGAACAACAAGCTTGAACTTGCTTGGCCAACCCGTGCTCAGAAAACGAGTCTTCGAGGTCAAATTCAGAGAAGCAAAGCCGTGCTCATCAAGATGCTTTCTGAAAGCGATGAGTTTTGCACACGTGAAACGTGCCATCGCCCCACAATCCAACCACAGCAGAAGCGGGTCCCTTCCCCTTAGCGCGAGGGCCTGATTTTTGGCTTCGGCCGGGATGTGGGCTCCACTCACTTTGGGGGGGTGGGGTCTTGAGCAATGTGGCGGAACCACAGCAGAAGCGGAGGGGTACTCTTCATTGCCCCTAGCCCTGCACGACTTTGGAGCAAATCAATCGGAGCGAGGCGGCCTCGGCTGGACCAGGATTTCAGCTTCGCCGAGAGTCTGAAATCCAGTCTGAACGATATAGCTGAAATTCACTTCATAGAAATCACGGGAGAATTCGAACATCGATGACCACACTTTGGTTTGTCGCGTCCAAATGCAACAGGCTTTCCACGGGTGATATGCGCCACTAAGCGAGTGGGACCATGATATCGGGAAACATCGTGCTGGAGAGATGCGGGCCCTAGTTGTCCAGCTGAGGTATGTAAAGGCCGCCTCTACTGGGAAAACTGCCCAACGCGAAAAGAAAGGCAAACCAACACCACTGTCCATCCCCAATACACCCATGCATATGGGGCGGCCGAGCCTAGCCAACCTCGATTCTTGCGATTTGAGGCCAATTCGAGGCCTCAAATCGCAATTTCTGCCACAAATCTGCCGTAATTGGGGGAGGTTTGGGTTGGGACCATCCCCAATCAACCGGCTAGCTCCGGTCAGCTTTTTGACGACCCCAAAAGGAATGAACAAACTCTCACCTCCTGAGTGGGTTGGCAAGAAAGTCCAAACTGTTTGTTTACCACCACCATGGTCTTCCCGCAAAGTATGCAGTCCATCAACTCAGGGATTGAGACAAGCACTCCAGGGCTGGAATCGCTGGAATTCTACTAGACCCTTGCCGGGGAAAAAAACTAAGTGTCCCAACTTCACAAACCTCAGTTTGCTTTGCCTCCGCAAGTCACGCACCCGTCCTGGCTCGGCGCTCTCCTGACGAAATCGTGCCCGCTCAGCTTCCAACCCCACCCCCCTCCACCCTCCTCTTGTTTGGCCGTTGAACTCAGGCACAGTTGGGATTGCCGAAAAAAACACAAACATTCACAAACCAAAATTGCAAAACACCGTTACACAAGCAAACAACACCAATGAAATCGTGCTACACCTGGCAGTGGCATGCATTGCTGGCACATGGCCTCTGGCCAATGGCGCATGAAGGCCCTAGATCCTTGCCACCTATGCCCATGGGGAGGCTGGCAGATTCGCTTCAAGCAGGTTTGAACCCATGTCTAAGTGGCCGGAGTTTGGGCCACAGGCTGGGAAACTTGTGGAATAAATGTTCACTTGCAACCACTGCTTGCCCCGGAGACTCGTTGTCGGTTTTGTCCGACTCAAAGACTCAGAAGGGGAACTCACCAAAACAGAAATACAACACGACAAGCGGGGCCTACTGACTATTGCTCCAACGTAGTCTTGAAAGGGCGACTGCCCAAAGAATCCAACAGCTAAACGACTTATGCTTCTCGACATTTGAAAAGCGGCCCAAAAGTGCAACGATGTCCTCTTGGTTCCCCCAACCCCCCCCCCCCCCGTCCAACAAACGAAAACACAAAAAAACACAAACACGAGCATTGGAGACTCAGGCTTTGCTGTTAGGACTCCCATTTCCTTCCTGAGTCCTCTTGCGTGGTTGGTCCCCAAATGAGATCGCCCCGGAGGCCCGGGCAGGAGAAATCGCTGGTTTAGTGTTGGTTTACGCTGCCTCAAAAGGCACGGATTTCTCACTGGACCATCCCAACCCTCTCCCACCAAAGCCCCCTCTCCCACAACAATGCCTGAATAAATGCTTAACTCAGCCTAAGTTGCGGAATCCGGGTTGGTCAGGACCCTGTGACTTTTGAGACCTGTGAGTGTCCTATCCTATATGACTTCTGCTTGAAGCCACATGGATATTAGGAGGTCGAATCGACTTGGACCTAAACTGGAAAACTCCATGCAGCGTTCGGAATTCCCAACAACTCACCCGCTTGCAAACCCGTGCTGGGTAAAGCAGCTGCACTAGGGTGAGAGTAGCCAGATGACGCAACCCCTCTCAGCAAACAAATGCAAACACAACTGCAATGGCTCCACGCAACTGCAGTAACCCCTCGCGGAAGTTGAAACAGTCAACTAGCTACTTTCAAAAAATCCTTTATTCATTGATTAGTTTGATTAATCAATTAAATAAACCATGAAATGAATGCTTTTGTTCGTTCGTGCATTCGGTTGATCGTTCATTCGCTCATTCTATCGGTCGTTCATTAATTCACTAATTCACTAATTCACTCATTCATTCATTCATTCATTCATTCATTCATTCATTCATTCATTCATTCATTAATTCAATCAATCATTCATTCATTCATTCATTCATTCATTCATTCATTCATGCATGCATGCATTCATTCACTCATTTCCTGCCTTTCTTACTTCCATCCATCCATCCATCCATCCATCCATACATCGATCTATCCATCCATCCATCCATCCATCCATCCATCCATCCATCCATCCATCCATCCATCCATCCATCCATCCATCCATCCATCCATCCATCCATCCGCTAATGCATTCATTCATTCATTCATTCATTCATTCATGCATGCATTCATTCATGCATTCATTCGCTCGCTCGCTCACTCGCTCCCTCACTCACTCAGTCAGTCATTCATTAATTCATTCAGTCATTAATTCATTCATGCGTTCGTTCGTTCATGCATGCATGCATGCATGCAAGCATGCATTCATTCCTGCCTGCCACTAACCAACCAACCAACCAGCCAGCCAGCCAGCCAGCCAGCCAGCCAACCAACCAACCAACCATCTAACCATCCATCCAGCCATCCAGCCATCCAACCATTCAGCCATCCAGCAGTCCAACTAACTATCCCTCAAACCAACCAACCAACCAACCCACCGGACCAACCAATCATCCATCTGATAAACCAACCCACCCACCCAGCCATCCAACCACCCACCCAACTGACCAACCCAATTCAAGTGTCCTCCACGCTGTCCAGCAGCGCGGCGAGACGGTCCGCCACAGACTTCGGCTTCTCCATAGCGGCGGCCGCCGGGGCCGCCGCGGCGCAGGGACCTTGGGGATGCCCAGCGGGGACGGGGCTGGAGTTCCAGGACGGGTCCCTCCATTCCATTTGTCTCGTCTGCGGAAAGGGGAAATGGAGCCAAACCCCGGAAAATGGAGTTCCAGGCACCCCCCCACCTCCCACAATTTCATGTTCAAAGGGGATCCTTGGCGCAAGGAACACGATGAACAAGGGCGAGGGCAACCTCCGGAGGACTACTTCCAGAGGATAACTTCGGAAGGGACCATGGTTGAGTCAAAGGGTTCAACTCTGGAGTGAAGGGTGGTCTTTGCCTTTAGGTTGTCACGTTACACCTTTGTGCTCGACGTGGGCTAAAAAGATAAGCTGATAAGCTTCTCTTCCCGCATGCTTGGGGATAGCTTAATGAACCTTGAAAAGGATCGGAGTCTGCAGGACTTGGGTCTCTTCTATGTTTGTTTGTTGTTGGGTTTCTCTTTCTGTCTTTGTCTTTGGACAACTTTTTTCATGAACCTGAAAAGGATTGCAAGGGTCTTGTACACCTCAATTGCCCCTTGGGGACCAGAAATGAAAGGTTCATTGTTTGGGACCTTTACTAAAAACCGACCAAACATGGGAACCCAAAAGCTCAGATCCGGTCGATCCGCTTTGGGCAACAGAAACGGGACCTGTAGACGGTGTCTTGAGCCTGATATGTCTGGGTGCACCTCCAACGGCCTGCGAAAGCAGAAGCCACCAGCGACCCTGGTAGCAACACGGGCCTTTATTTTTGGATTGGCTTAAACTTACAACAAGCAGGGCTCCCTATTTTTCCCCTTCAAGCGTCACCCCCCACCAAGAAAAAACGCTCACACACGAAAGGCCGTTATTTCTGGAGTGGCTTAAACTTACAAGCAGGGCTCCCGATTTTTCCCCTTAAAGCATCACCCCCCACCAAGGGTCGCTCACCTTTCATGGGCCAAAAAGGTGATGTTTGAAAACCAAGGACGGAAATATAGGGACCCCTGACAAGGGGAACCTATCAACATGGGAAGGTGGGAACCTGTACGTTCTTTTCTTTTTTTGGGGGGGTTCCCTGGTGGAAAAAGCCTCTTTTTTTTGCAGGGGAACCCAGATCAAAACGGGGATTTTTAGGGGTGTTACTGAACTGGGGCCGAGGCCTTCGGGCGTGTGCGCAACCCCACCGCGCGCAACTGGCCGGGAGCTACTCCTCAGCGGCCCAGATCCGTGCAAAGGCCCCGTTTTTACTGCGTCTTTGCTCCACAACGCCAGGCCCCAAACTACATTTCTGGGCTGCCCTCAGATCCCCCGCTAAAAGTGACTAACTATTAGTGGGTTAAATGGAAACTACCACTAAACACTGAAAGGCTAAAAAGCTAAGGAACCGGATGGCTGGGAGCCACCAAGATTAGAATAGATTCCAGGATATGCTTGGTTGACTGGAAGTCTCAAGCCAGTGGGCCAATGACATACTATGGCCAACAAGAAGGGTTCTGTTTTCTCAATTTTCGACTTGGAGGTGCTTCCAATGACTGCAGATTGGAGGACTGGTTTCCTCTATCAATGGGTAAGGGGGCTTTCCATGTTGAGCCATGTCCATGGCCATGAGTTTCTTGGTTGAAGTGCTCACCGCAGGACCTGAAAGGGTTGATGCTTGCCCAGTACTGGGACCTTCCGACCATGGCACACATGAGGTCTTTGAGGGGGCCACGGGGCCACGTCTTGTGATGCCTAAGGCCAAAACGGGGCTTTAGTTGGCCAAGTCTGAAATCGGTCGGTGTGCTTCGGACTGTGGACCTGCGAGGTCAAGCGGGAGCAAAGCTGTGAATGACCAGTCGCGGCGACCGGAGTGGGAAACCCCCCTTGATTAATAAGTGCCCCATTTGGAGGGTGTCCTTGTGTCCATGTCGTGGTGTCACTGACTATCCGGCACCATACGGGAAAAGCAAAGTATTGACAGAGCCTTGGGGTGGCCCATGCAAAGAAGAACCGCGTGTTACAGAGGCCCTGCAAACGCTCAAAACATTCCCACCCCTTTCGCTTCCTTTGGGCAAGTTATACAGATGCTCTGTACGCAAAACTCGACTCAGAACCCAGAAAGCAGAAAGACGGCTTGCCTTGGCAAATCCATCTAGGACCCGACCGAAGGCTTGCAAACAAGGAGCTCCTCGCTGGAACCTCATCAGTCCAGTGAGGGACTCTACTGATTCGCCGCCCCCCCAAGTTTAGACCCTTTGTAGGTGGGTTTATCTGAAAATGCGGACTAGAAGGCTTTCCCTTTTAAATGCCAACAAAAGGGGTCCAAAGAAAGGACCCTGAACATGTCCAAGGATCAAGTCAAGAGTCTTGCAAACGTCACGGGATGCATGACATGAAACGCTTTGCAACTACCTTGCACAAATTAATCCCCCATATTGCCTGTGACACTTTGTGATGCGCTCCACTTGGTTATTGCAACCAGGCAGTTGTGTTTAAAGCACCTTTGTTCAAACAAGCTCGTACCGTTGCTCCCTTCGACATATGCTTGACAAACCTGGCTCCGGATGCGCAGTTGTCATGGGTTTCAATGCCTCTCTCCGGGTTCAAAACACGACAAATAGAGGGACACAAAAGAAACGAGGGAAACGTGGAACCTTCAACACGGCATGCAATAACTTGCTGGTGCTCAGTGAGTGAATGACTCAGGGTGTTGGGAATGAACCCAGGCGTCCGGCAACGACTTGGCTTTTTTCAGCTCGGACCTCAACAGCGATTCTGGCACCAAGGTGTTGAACGGCCTTGCATCTCTTTTTCCATCGGCCATGGCCTCTCTACTCAGAAACTCATACAGGCGTGGTCACACGCAACATCCTTGCAACACGCGAAGTCTGAAATGAGGAAGACCCACGTGAGAAACTCAATCATAGGCGAGCGCGCCAGAACATACTGCGGATGGACGAAATCCTGCACCACCTGAACAGCATTACACAGCCATGGGAAACCATGTCCTGGACCTTCATTTGTTACCTAAATGTGTGTCCCTTGGGCATTCCGTAGCTGTCGTAGCAGTGTGCCAATCCCTCTTCTTTTCATGTAGTCTGTTGCGTGGAAACATGCGTGCAACACGGGCGCCAAATACCCGCAAAAGGAGCACAATACCCGCAAAACAAGCGCAAATCCGAATCATGTAACCATGTTGCAACAAGCCCCCGTTCATGAAACGATATTTTTGTTGGACACAAGCACTTTTTGGATCATTGGGCGAAAACCGTGGGCCCGCGCATTCTATTTCTGTGACACATTTTATGTTTATATTATTTTTTTTAAAAAAAAATGTAACCATGGAAGGTCCAGGTTCGTATGTACAGCGACATCATATTGTCCAGGGTTTCTTAGGTGCAGGATTTCGTCCATCCACAGTAGCAGTTTCACCCAGGCGGCTTGATGCTTTGCGCTTTCCAGCCGTTGCCTGTCGACCGATCCGTAAATCCGGAAAAGGGCCGCACATCGCCCCAGGAATGCGGCTCCCTACATGGGGGGGGGGGGGGGGAGAAAAACTATATCTATTTATATGTATATGTATGTGCAAGAAATATATATATATATATGCATGTATGCATGCAATGTAATGTAATGTAATGTAATGTAATGTACTGTAATGTAATGTAATGCAATGCAATGTAATGCAATGCAATGCAATGCAATGCATGTAACGTAATGTAATGTAATGTAATGTAATGTAATGTAATGTAATGTAATGTAATGTAATGTAATGTAATGTAATGTAATGTAATGTAATGTATGTAATTATGTATGTATGTATGTATGTATGTATGTATGTATGTATGTATGTATGTATGTATGTATGTATGTATGTATAATATGTTTTGAAGGCTGATTTTGAAATGGAAAGCCTGATGCACAAGGAGAAACAAGCGTAAGCCAAGGACTTGTGCAAGATGACCTTCCTCAAATGATTGGACGCCAACAAAACCTCCATGAAACATACCGGCTTTTGGGGCACACCCTCTTGGGCAAGGTTCATGATGTGAGGCCATACGAAAAATGGGATGTGCAACCTGTCTATCACATTCAGTACTGATGGCTACAGAGAAACACATTCATAGCTCTCGGGTGGCTTCAGGCCAGCGGAACTCTTTGGTGTAGATATGTTTGACTCCACCATCTGGGTGTGGCTCAAGATGAACCAGCTGGGGTTACGCAAGTTTTGGTCTTTTCCGTACACCTCTGGGTACATGTTCGTGAGCTACAGCCATCTAGGAAACCAGACACGGTCAAGAATTACCGCACGCCGCAGCCCAGGTAGACTCCCTCTTTGTAAGCAACTTAGTTGCTATGCATGCCAACCTCAAGACCACACGGGTGATGATTGCAAAGACTACTTGGTGGTTCAAAATAGCGAGTCCCTAAATGCAAACTGTAGTGGAAGGCCCTATGGCACGGGAAACCACTACCATCTGGCATACGGATCAAAGGGTGATGTTGAGCAACCCGAACAGATGGGGGACAACTGAGGTTCATCCGCCTTGCTCTTCTTGTCCTTCTTCTTTTTGTTCTTCCTGAGTATGCGTGCACCAAGCCGCCCAACCCCACCCGTCCCTCGAAATGAAATGACTCTCTTGAAATTAGGCGAAGGGGTGTCTGTTTGAGGGTGCTCTTTTCTGCTGCTTTTCAGGGAATGGGAAACCACACAAGTTAGGGGTCCATAATTTCGATACAAACGCAGTGGTTGGTTTGCAAAACTTGAGAAGCGACGTCCTCGTGGCCCACACGGAGAAACAAATCGTACTGCGGCGAATGTCACCATTACTAACATCAGCTAGCAATGAGCAATATCCCATGGTCATGGCACGATTCTTCTTATGTTACCGCACAACCCCACTTTACACATTGACGCCTCCATGACAAACCGGCAAAACTTGCTGCAAGTACTTGAGCTGTGCTACACTAAGCGGGGGTGAAGGCCTCCAGAAACAAAGACCACGGCAAACTGGTTCAAAATACGTTTCCGGTTCTTCGAACAAAACAAACCAACAGACCTGATTGAGGAAAACAACGAAAAACTAAGCCCTTGAAGTGCCATCCGCAAACAAGTGTCCTCCGAATGGTTTGTTTGAATGGAAGCTACCCAAAATATGTTTGTTGCGCTTGCGAGACCCAGACAAAGGAGGTCTGTGAACTGCCTGCCAGGATTCTTGTCCTTTTTGGACTTCTTTGACTTCTTCTCCTCCTTGGTTGCCTGGCCGGGAGGAGGGTCAACCCATCCGTCAGGCGGCCAAATCCGGGAGGTGGCACGCGTGGTTCACAAGCCACGATGGATGTTCCCAAAACTAGGGGAACTAGAAAAAACCCAAAACTGGAGAAAATGAGTTTCTGTCAGGTTTCTCCTTGATTATCACTTAGAGCTTTAAAGGATGCCCCCACATGCAAATCCTGACCCCTGACCTGAAAGAGTTGGTGTCTGGCCTTAATCTATTGTTTGGCCTTCTGCAGCCGCTCTGCGCGGCATCCCGCCTGCTGCGGTAAGTCCATGAGGCGGCAATGGCCGGGTTAGGGGTTAGCCTGAAAGTGCCCCAGCCCACCCGCCTTCGTGGACGAAAATGTCCGATATTCCAAGAAAAAGCTGGAGTATTTTTGAATGCCACGTCGAATAAACGGGACAACGCTAAACATATTGGTCGAGTCTTGACCCATGAGCACACTGTTGTGGAGAGCGACCTTTAGGATATGTATGCTTGGCAATCTGGGGAAACCAAGTCACCTCTGGGGAAGGCGCATCAATGGAGGGATGACGCCGTGCACAACTGCTTCGAATTGGCTACAGTGATCAATCCCGCAAGACTGCCCCAAAATCCAAGTTGTAGATACATAAATCATGGGTCCGCCCATGAGCGGCCCAACACGAATAACCCAAACATCTTTGGCATCCGGCTTGGCGCATAGTGGGCGATAGCTTGGAGAACCAACGCTATCAGGCATGCAAGCAACCATGAAAGCTTGTTGCTGGCGTTGCTCGGACAGCCACCGTCATACACCGTGCAACATAGATGCATATGACAACAAATCACACAAATGGTGATTGCAAGATAGCCTGCTCTCGACTGAAGCCTCCAGTCACATGGTGGCATAGCACAAACAGGTCCCACCGAGCAGACTATAGGTATTCAAAGCAAATCAAGTCGGCAAACTATATGGTTAGTTGTGCCAAATATGGTGTTTGGATGTCATACTGTGATAACAAGGGGACCCGCTTCAAAGTGACAAGGGATCATCCACGCTCTATTTGCATAAATTTCGTGGTTCAAGGCGCTTGGTACCAAGCAGCCTGCAGCGAATTATGGAGAACCTTATGGTGCGGGTGATGTCGGTGCCATGTTATTGCTATTTTTTGTGACGAAGGTATTGCTGGCCATTCGGTAGCAGTCGCAACCCGCACCAACCGTGTCAGGGCGTCTTGCATTGGCCAGCCGCCCCAGTAGTAGCCTGACAATTGGCGCTGAGACGCAAGTCGAGGAACAAACGGCTTTCCCGCATTTCCGCTTCAACATCCGCGATCCAGAGGTCTCGCTGGCATAGAATGGTCCCTTTCTGTTCTCCAACAGGGTCAAAGACAACCCCTGCGTGCCGCCTGCGATAAGATTCAAACCTTTCGCGCCTGGGTACCAGTTCCCGTAGTAGGCTGCCGCTGCCCAAGCATCGGCCCGGGGCGTGCACCTCAGTTTGCGCGTTGAAGGACATTTTCAGGTCTTTGCTCCCCTGATCTGTCACTTTTGTGCGGTGCCAACATGAAACCCCACCACAAGAAGAAGGCGGGCAAAATGGGCCTCGATGTTCCGGACAGCGGGGTCCCGCGAAGACAGTCTTTTTGCTCAGGAACCTTCTGCTGGGTTCCAGGTAACTTGGTGGCAGGCCCCGCCCATGAAACAAAAACACAAAAAGGAGCACTCCCCCTTTCGGCAGCACCAGGGTGCACAGGATGTGAAATCAATATCATTGCGCAATGTGTGAGTCATTCAACTTATCTGTGAAATGTCATTGTTGTCTTAACTGAAATCCGATCTTACAGAAAAAGAAAAAACAGGAGAAAAGAAGAAGAAACACACGCTCTTTCCGAAACAAAGCGGTCTTCCAAAGAGTTGACAGGGTTGTCACGTCTCCCTCTTGAAGATTGAACGCATGGGATCCGTCAAAGGACCCATCATGCGTTGCGTCTCGGAAAGGGACTTCTCTACACATATGGGAGCTGCTGGGGTTCTGCGTCGCTAATCACAATATGTAGGATTCACAAAATCTAATACTGAAAGTAGGAACAAACAGCGATCTGCAACTGATGTGTTTCCTACCTTTTACCTGAACTAAGACACCCCCGGATGGGGTCGAGCCTTTGCCCCCCCGGTTGTGGAGCTGACTGGTTTAAGTGAACACATCTCTCCCAGGCTGGAATTGAGTCAAGTGCTTGTGTCCCCCCAAAGTGTCCCAAACCATTTCTGCTAACCATGTTCTCATTGCTTTCCTCACTGAACATGTCTCCTTGAACATGACCCAAATTCTTGGCTGGCGTCTTAAAAAAGAAGCCTTCAGCTAAGCCCCCAGAAGCTGTGGCACACCGGCTTGTAGCCAACGGGACGGTGCTAGGGTTCAAGCCAGCCCAAGAAAGGTTTCGATTTAGGGCCAACCGCGGGGGTTAAGATTCTTGTCTAGGTCCACACTGAGGGTTTACGGTTTTGGTTCGTCACTGCGTGTGATGAACTTGAAGTGCCAGTGGATTGATTCCTCTCTCTTTGGAGCCCGGCTGCTTGAATGGAGTAACAAGAGCAAAAACAAAGACGCGGGGCCTCGCAATTCATCGGCAGGGACACCATTTCGCTAGATGTCAGTACCTCTGAGTCTTGGAGTCTTGCCTTCAGTGGCAGCAACGAAGACATTGGACAATCTTACAACATAAGCGCATAACTTTGACCCCAGATTCATCAACCCCTGTTGATTAATATGGGAGTGCTCCCCTCAAGTGAGGAAAAAAAACAAAAAAAACTAAAATTTACCAAAAACACCCTCATATTGATACACAGGGGTTTGATCCGGGCCTGATGGGCACTGCCGCTTCTCGGACTCGGAAGCTGAGAAAGGCGAGCGGCAAGAGCTGTCCCAGAGCTGCGGCTTGGCCGTTCACCAGCTGCACCTCACCAAAAGGACAGGCCGGGGGGAATCTGTGGACTTTTCGGCGGCAAACCTCTCAGGTCTTGATGTTTGTTTGTTTTTTTCTCCGCAGTCAAGCAGTTGGGCAGAAAAGCAAATACCGCCGGCGGATCTAAGTATTGTCTTCCTGCCAGATTCAAGCCTGGTGTCTGGGTTGTGCTTCAACCCTGCATGGACAGTTGCGCAATCCTTAAAAATCGCAAGTCACCATGACTCCCACCTCCGCCATAAAGGGTCTCAACATGGCCCCTGGAAAAAAAACAAACTCGCCCGCCTGCTGCAAGAACTGGCTCACATTGCAAGTGCCTGGCTGGGTTTATGTACCAGGAAAGTCCTGGGACAAACGTGCCTCTCCTTGTACAGCGGAAATGCTTGGGGAAGAGTATCCTCATTCGGGGTGAACCCTATGCACTTGTGGGGACAGCTGAGGGAAGCGTACTCGGACAGCCCGAACAAGGTTCGTTCTTGCAAGAGCCTTGGCGGGGTGCATGAGAACTAGGAACCCGGGGACCTCTGGGTACACGGTACAAGGCCACTTTCTTCTTTCAGCCCTCCAAAAAAGACACCCCCATACAACCTTCTTCTACGTATGACGTGACTATATGATCACATATTGCTGTTCGGGAGTGGTTGGGTAGTGGACATACTTGCCGATAGTCCAATATTCCAAGCCCACCAGAAACCATGATAAACCACTGGGTTCTCCTGCTGCCCTTCTTGTAAAGTTAGGGTGGGTCGAGTCGCCCGGCATATACACCCTGGGAGCCAGTCGCCAACTAAGACGCCTTTTCGGAATCAAACAGTAAACAACTCTAAACTCTGACGAGGGCCTCAGGGACCACCCGAACTAGCGCGGCGTGTTCGGCAGAACCATTGTCCCGCACAAAACAAACAATTGCTGTCTGGGTGAATTATTATATTTCCTAGGTCGTTAGGTCGAATTCACAGTGAGGTCGGGTGACCTCGCTATAGTTTACCCAGTTGCTGTCACTGCCTGCCCAACTAAAACGTTGTTCAAATTTCCGGATGCGTCCTCAATCTCTCAGAGCCTCCATCTACAACTCCCTTCTCCCGCTGACCACCTTCTCCCCCGGAACCCGCTTAATGTGAGGCTTGACCTTCTGCGTGCATGTTCTTCTATAAAGCCCCGATTTAGCGAAGAATTGGATTGAACTTTAACGTACTGTTCAATCACTCCGCCCTCACGCTGATTTTGCTCCATGGTCAAAGCGGCCACATGGGGGCCGCTTTGCAAATCGACCAGTGCTACTGCAAAGCTCAGCGGGGCACCCCAAGTAGTTTAGCCCATACCGCCGCAAGAATCTCCTGAAGCGCTATGCGCATGGGTGTGGCTCCATTGGAGTTGGTACTAACTTTCCTTGGTGGTCAGGAAAGGCAAAAGGGAACCCATCAGTTTCTTTGCGGGGGGCCAAGCCCAAACCCTGAGGGGGTCCGCGTGCCCAACCGAGAGCCGCTTGAAAACCCTGCCAAGGGCCCCACAAACGCCCGGACTTACAATCTATGCATCGTCGAAATGTGCTTTTTGGGGTTGGAGTCCGACAATTCCGCTGCCATGTCCATTCCCCTCACCCCCCTCCCCTGCCCTAGTTCGGTAGTTCTATGTTGCATCGACCTTCTTTTTGGATACGTGCTTTTCAGGGTTTGGTTTTTCAGGGTGCTGGTTGTCCCTTTTTTTTCTGGGGATTTTGCTTTCTAAAGGTTGTGATGTCCCACAGCCGGGGCTCCAGCTCCTGCCTTGGCAAATCCGCATCACCCCCCAAGCTGCTGTGCTGCTCAGCATCTGCAGCACCAGGCCAACCTCGCGCGGGATGGTTCGCCGCTTTGACGCTGAGGGATGGGGTTTCTCTCTGCCGTTTTTTAGTGTTTGGCTGAAACAGACCAAGCTGGGCTGTTCAAAATGGGGGGGGAGAAACCTAATCCGAACTAGTGGGTGACCGCGACAAGGGATTTCACTACTCACTGGCTCATAAGGCTCATAAGGATTCTTGCTGTTGAGTTTAACAACATGTTGAGGTTGTGTAGGCGTTGGGATTCCGGGAAGAAACCAGGATCTATTCCCTTTGTGTTTCCCTTCGTCACGGGCTTGCCAGTTCCGACCTCCTTTTAGGCTGGCCCACGTCCCCGCGAAGGTGTTGGGGAAATGATCTCAACTCCTGGAAACAGCCTTTGGCTACTGAGACCTCTGGCAGCGTCCCAGGTGTTAAATGGAGGGTAGTGTTGCCTTTCGTGTGGGAAAATCAAAAATCAACGGCTACACATCCATCAACGGCTCACATCGCCTTTTGGCTTCCAAGGATTTCCTAGGTAAATCCACAAAAGTCGCTACTTCGCGACCATTTCACCCAAGAGTTGCTTTTTCGGCTCGGGGTCCGGGAGCGGCCTCCGGCTTCATGCCCGAGTTCTGCACCCAGTGGAAGACCTCGCGCCTCGGAAAGGTTCAAAGGCCTGGCGTTGGGGGAGCTTTGGCGATTCATTTGTGGGCCCAGGATGAGTGGTGTTGGGGTGTTCTGGTAATTGTTTTTATTTCTACGTGTGCTTTTGTGGTCCAAGGCTTTCCTCACGTGGCCAGTGACCAGCCAAAAGAAACGTGTACACTTTTTAGGCCACCACCAAACCTGCCGCAGCAGCGACCTCTGAATTCTTGAGGCTGCTGACTTCTCACTGGACAACTTGTGCCGAAGACACCCACCGGATGCGCCCGCCAGAAGCCCAATTTCCCACCGTTCCCGCTTGTTCTCTCCACCCATGTCCGAGTGAATAATCCCTCTATGGGACGCTCCCCTGTAAACCAACCAGGGTACAGGAATTCTCACTTCTTCTTTCCCGCATGTTCCTTTTGGCAAAGAACAAGCCGGTTTAGCGTTGTCGGGCTTTCAAATTCAAAGCTTGTGGCCTTGCTGTTGCCAAATACCTAAAAGGACAAGCACCTTCAATTCTGAAGGTGGGCTACGGAAATACCGGCCGCATTTCGGCAAAGTGCAGCAAGCAAAAAAGTCGAAGAACGAAGACACCCCAAGCGTCCCAGCAGAAGGGTGGGCCCTTGACTGCCTGTGGTTTTGGCTGGTGCTGACGACGGCTGACTCAAGCCTCAAAGGTTGATCGGAACACGGACAACAGTACAGGCCAAGCTTGGAGAAAAACGTGACCCGTCGAACTGAGGCTGGTCGGAACAAGAATTGAAAACAAATCCAGACTTGCAGTCAGTTTGCTCCGTGTAGCCTTTTGCACTGTTAATTTGGAGGTTAGGGGGCACAAATGTTCAAACCACCAGGGCCAAACCACCAAATGGGGAGGGGCTGTCGAAGGGGACTAATCACAGGGTTCTCTTAAGCAGGGGAGAACGAGAGAAAAAGGCAAACAAACAAAATCACCCGACTCAAAGAAAAAGAGAGATCCCAAACGCACCCTCAGCAAAAAAAAGGAGGAGAGCCATTTCCCGCTGTGATGGAAGCATGCTAGAGGTGCCTGACAGTCTGGACCCCCACCCCATTAAGGGCCACTTGTGGCCACCCGCTCCATATGCATTGGGTCAAATTTAAACCACCAGGGGACCGCTGGTTTCAGTCCTGGGTTACATTTACCAGGGCCCCATTTGGGGTACATTTTTTTGACCCACAGCCATTCCTGTCTCGCCAGCTTCAAGCTAACCCGAACTCATGCCAGCCAACGCGTCGCAGTCCCCAGTGCTACTTCCCTACACGAGAGCCCGCGGGGACGAGATCTGCCAAGCTTCTCAAAGTCTTCGCTGTGCTTGTGCTCGTCAATGATGCCTGCCAAACAACTCGTCAAAGCCGCCTCGAGCTATCCCACCCGTTAAACCCGAACGGAGAAACGTAGTTTCACCTCCGAAAAATGCGTTCCAGCCCGCCAAAGCCCGAGTAAGTTTTGTTGAACTTTCCCAAAGCGACCCAATGGAGACCCCTCAGCCCCAGCCAGTTGATCTGTGACATATGTGCCCTGCGCGGTCCCAGGAGACCAACACCCCCAGCACCAAGCACCCATTGCATTCTTAGGCAGCAAACTTCTTCTGGAAGCCCGCAAGCCCAGAAGCACAACCGCTGCTGCTAACTTACCTCCCATTGCAAAACAAAAACAGAGGGCCGGCCTCAAGTTGTGGGCTGATATGTGTTTCCTGCAGCACTCCTCAGAAACCTGCTCAGAATCAAAAACAAATCGAGGCAAAGAAGCGCCTCTGTGCCTGAGAAAGATGTGTCTTCGAATTCATGAACACCTCCCTGATGCTCCGCGCCTTGGATCTGGTGCTCCAGTGGGGACTTGGCTGCCTGGAAGGCTTTCGGGGGGCGCGGGATGGACCCTTGGAAGCTATGTATGTGTATGTAACCGTTATGTAAATATATACATCTACACATGCTTCCCTCTATAAAAAAGGTGGTTTGGAGCCTGGCGCTTTCTGTTTGCAGGTGAGGCATGCCTTCCCTCAAAATCAACCCACTTAGTTTGCAGTAAGTGTCCCTCCCCAAAGGCGGAGAAAAAGGCGAACTGGGGGGGGTATGGCTTACCTGCTTGAGCCGTTCCTTTGGTTCAAAGCCCTGGGGTTCTGAAGAACTTTGGCCCTGGGTTTCGGCCACGAAAAGCGCAAGACCCAAAATAGAAGGAACGCATGGGAATCAGCCGGTTTCAGGATCTATCAAGTGACTCACTCTTGCGGGGCCTCTTGATGTTGGTTCCCCAGAGAACAAGAACAAACAGAAAGGCCCAAACCCTGGCTGCCAGGCGAAGGTCCCGAAGGAAGCTTCTGATCAAAGGAGTTCTGAAGCTTGATGGCCGAAGGGGGGCCCTATTGTTGTTTTTCCTGAATCCGGGGTGTTCTGGAATAAGTCGCAAGTGGAGATGGCTAGATTTCCTCCGGCTTCTCCAACCATCGCTCGCTTAAAACCGTCCCATTTCAAGCAAAACAGGAATACGCAAAGCAAACCGCATATATCTGCAACTAGTTTTTTGCATTCTTCCCAGAACCTGAACTAAGGGATCCCCGCATCAAAGACCTCCACTGTGGCCTTCGCTCGTTTTACCAGCTGAGCGAAAAGCCAGTCATGCACAAAAAGGCCGAGCTGGTGAAGTTTCGTCCCGACAGGGGCGCCGGAGGCGGGCACGGAGGCGAAGAAGCCCGTGGCTTTTCTGGGGTGCAGGTCGCCGTCCGTATCTGCCCCGCCGCCAGGAGAAAAAGTAAAATCCTAAATACAAATGCTAAAAGTAGAGTTTAAAAAAAGAAATGTATTGTTTTATTAATACAATTGAACTAAAGTACTATGAGATGGAATCGCCAGGTTTTTCAGATGGAAACGCTCTCGGTTTTTCAGATGCATGACATCCCAGGACCAGGAGCTCTTCAGCTCCCTCAAGGGCATGACCTTTCTCTGCCGCTTTGGCAAAACTTTCCGGGCCTTGTAGAAATCGCTGAGATAGGACTGCTATGGACTGCTTATTTACCTGGATCAAACTCAATTCACTCGGAGTTGCCTTAAATACCCGCAAGACACAGGTTCCACCACGTTTTGAATTTTTGGTACCGCATTCTCTGAGGGCCATGCTGGGGCTTCTTTTTGAAAATGCCGCATTCCACTCATTTGCGTCTCCCTGATTTTTGGAGGTGAATAAGGCATTCTACTAGGCAGCCCGTTTCGTGAGCCAACAGAATAGGTTGGGCCACCCCCCAGTTTCATCATTGACATTTGTCTGACATGCTAAACGCTCTTTCCAACAACTCCGAAGGGGGTGTCTTGCTCCACAGCCTCTGCGTAGATGTTTGTAACTTTGGGATCCACATGATTCCAATGCCAAATGACTATGACTTAAAGCACAGCACATTCCCAAAAGCGGCCATGGCAACCCAATTGCAAGGCATTGGATTTGGCAGACCCTCTTTACAATCAAGAAGGCTGACAGGAGGGTTTGGACGATTACTGGCCTCTCGAAAATGGGGGGGGGCCTCTTCCAGGATTCTTGAGAAGATAACCCCGCGTTCTACTGGCCCAGCCCAACCCAATCAACCCCACGTTCTACTGGCCCAGCCACATCCTTGAGTCCGATACCATTTGTTGCGACTTGCCCGAAAAACAGACTTCCATTTGCTTAAGAATATTGTTTATTTACCCATCTTGGTTTTAAAGGGAGTCCATCACTATTGGACATTTTGGGAATTTTCCCCAGACCACTTCAGCAAATGGAGGCCAACCCGCCCCAAGCGGCCTTGCGTGCAGGTCTCGCCGGAGAGGTTCTCCGAAGCGGCGAGGCCTGCGGCCCGGTTCAGCTTTCGCGGGCTGGGAGGGGGGGGGTTCGCCCTGGCCTGAAGGGGTTAATAAGTCATAGCCCTTTTTGGGGGGGTCCATGAACCTGTTGGACCCTTATGGCTTTTTCGGGGTCCAGGCAACTGGGATGGTCACAATCCTTCGCGTGGAGTCAAAGCGATCCCAAGGCAAAGTCGCTCAAGGGTTCCTGGCACTCGGATGCGCGCTGGGCGAGGTCCCAGGGTTTGGGCCTCGGCTGGTTTCTGCATAAGCCCACTGCCTGCAAAGGAATGCCAACCCCGATGCTGAGTGCTCCCATTTATCCTGGTTGAAAAAGGCTCCCTAGGTCGCATGTTGCACACTCAGCCGCGCCAGGCTTGCCCTGCGCGCTGGGCCACTATGACCCACACTCACCCACTTCGCAGTTTGACTTGCATGGTCTTCCCGAAAAGGAGAAACATCAGTTCCAGGGAGCCACTTGCATGCAAGAGCAGCTGGCAGTTCCGATCGGACAGTTCGCAGGTGGCCATCATGATATTGGTTCAACTGCGGACTCAGCACATGAACAACTCACTTGTCCAAAGGACCTGTAAATAAAAGGTTAACCTTTTAGGACCTCTACTAAAAATAGATTCAAAAGGGAAAACCAAAAGGTCAAAAGGTCGGCTTTGAACAACTGAGACCCCACCTCCGCTTTCTCCAGTTTTGGCTTGGCCTCTTTGGGCTTCAAAGGCTCCTGGCACCGGGAGGCGCGGAGCTGACTTGTTTGGCCGCTAGGGTTTGGGCCTCGGCCTCTGGTTTCTGCATAAGCCAACTGCCTGCAAAGGAATGCCAACCCCGAAGATGCCCCTAAGCGCTCCCATTTTATCCTGGCCAGATCTACCTGTAGGAGCACTTGCGACCCTATCTCCACTAAGCAATATATGAAGAGTCAACTGGATGTGTGTCGGTTCTGGAAACAATTGTGACGTTATGTTGGTTTTGTACTATTACACATTTAACCCACCAGCCAAAGTATATGGTGAAAAGTGGCTGCAGGGACGCAGCTCGCGAAGCTCCTACATGGCGAGCACCAAGAAGGCAGCAGGCATTCGTTTTAGGAAGTTTGCAGGCGCGCCGATTTATGCACCTCGCGGACACCTGCAGCCCCCAAAATGATGCCGAGAACAAATTGGAAAGCACGACGCGCCTATCCGGGTTCCACATCGTGATGCGCTTGCATGCTGGAACCCATTTCTTAGAGCCTGTTTAGGATCTCCTGATTTCGGGGCTCTTGCTTGAGGACGGGCTGGGTCTTCTGTTAGCAGGCTGATGCCTTGCAGGGAAGCTGCCCACTTGCACAACATTTCGCTTGTTTGGTGCAAACCTGTCAGTTTGCTTCAGGGCTTAAGCGAGAAGTCTAGATACTCGTGTACGTCCCCTTTTTGGACGGTCTTGACTGACAAATCGTCTCAACTCAAGAAAGCAATTAAGCTCAAAGAACAGTCTTACACTCACGGCGAAACAAGCTGACCCCACGCAAATTTAATTAATGCAAACTGGTTGGGGTCTGACACGGAATCCGAATTGGTATGTAAAGGGATGAACAAAAGATGTCCGCTCCATGTGATGGGACGCGGGGCGGTCAAGGGAAACTTACCCAAAAACATGTCAAACTGGCTTGAGTTGCAATTATAGTGGCAAAGAGAAGGCTGGCAGCCTTTCAGGGCCTCCCCAAAAAAAAACATTTGAATGGGTCTGAACTGGTTGTTGGTCGTGACGCGAAGCCCTCTCAAACCAAAATCACCTGCAACCACTCGGACAGCACTCGGCCGTTTCAACCAGCTTTGCGCCTCGGGAAGGGCCTTGGGCCGGAAGCCAAGCGAAGCCGCAAGAAACATGCGTCGAGCTGGCAGCCAACGAACAAGTAGCTCAAATTGCGCGTTGTGCACACATTGGCAAGTTTACTGGTCCTGGACGTGTGCGTGTCAATATGTCCAAGCATTAAAACCTTTGGCTGTTGACTGGGTCCAGGATCAATTGCGAGAACATCCATCCCATGGCGTCTATGAGAAGTTGAATAACCGTTGAGTTGAAATGGAGCCTTCAATGTTGCTGGCAGTCAACCAAGGCATGTCCGCTGGCTGGGGCCCGTCTGACATTCAAACAAATGCAAAACTCGGCATGTTCCGCCCAGAACTGTAGCGAAGCGAAAGGAAGGACACTTCATCCTAAATGTGGCCCTGCCATGGCTTGCCGCGGGCACTCTGAAGAAAGAGGGCAAGCAGCTGTGCTCTGCATGATGCAGGCAAGCCGCGTCATGCCCAGTGATCTGCTTGATGAGATTCTTGGTATAGGAAACGCTATCGATGCTAGCCGCTACCTGGGATGTTGCTCCAGATGAGGAGGATGCAAGAGATCACTTTAGTGAAAACAACCTCACGTCCAACCTGCGTCCCTAGTGTCCTTCAATAAGTTGATCGATTTGGGTTCCTGCGATACTAGGACTTCCGGAGGTCCAAACAATGGAAACTAAGGGACCCCGGACAATCATGCTCAACAAGATTCACGGAATACAAGCATCTTGTGCTTCCATTGGGGAAGGACAAGCCTTGCAAAGTTGCCTTGAAAAAGACAAACACACACACAAATGCAAAGCGCAACTGGGTCAAGCGCGGTCATTACACAACTGATTGCAGCTGTTGCAAGCACAAACGCAGAACATGGACCAAAATGGCACCGAGGGCACGCGTCTGCGCCCTCATGCCACGAACCCTCCAAATTGCAACCCACCAAGTGGTCAGTTGTTTGGGAGTTGTGAGCCTGAGGGGTACGCGAAGGCTACGCAGACCAGGAAAAAAGCCGACGCGAATGAAGGGAAACTCCGTGTAGGCTACGCAAGGCTTTACGGGCATTTTACAGGGGTCCAGCCTACGCAAAGCCAGTTCCCCTCCGCAAAGGCTACGCCAAACGCAGAGCAGGTGCTCTGAGAAAAGAACACTACACCTGGAGCGCTCCAGTCCAGGCAAGTCCTTTCTTTCGATAATTTAAGGGCTGCTGTTCTGACAGTAGGGGGTGCAATCTGGGTGATCGGAATTCGCCAGTGGGAAATGGCAAATTGACTCCAAGGATGTTCGCAAACGAAACCCGGCGAGTTCGCAATTTGATTTGCCTAGCCATTCCCCCTCCTTGGAAACCAGGAACAACATGGAACCTAAAACTCAGTTGCCCAAAGGACCCAGAAATGAAAGGTTAACCTTTTGGAGCCAGGGCAAAGAATGGACCAAAATGGGAGAACTAAAACTCACTTGGCTAGTGACCAACCCCAAGAAAAGTGTACACTTGGGCCAAGAAAAAGTGTAAAGTGTGTCCACTGGCTGGATGAGAAAAGGTCAATAGGTCAGCTTTGAAGAACTGAGAAACAGGACCCACTTGAGCCAGGCCTTGGGCTCGGCCTTGGGCTCGGCCTTGGGCTCGGCCTTGGGCTCGGCCTTCGGCTTCGTCTTTGGCTTCGGCGCGCTGCGTTGGGCCTCGCCGCAAGCTTCCTTAAAGAAAAAACAGTTTGAGGGGTTCTCAAACTATACCCTGCTTGGGTTCAAAAGCATCTATAATTTCGGAGACACGAATCACCGAAACTGTAGCTACAAATGCGCATTAAGCCAGTGCCCCACAGGTATTACATTCCTTTTACGCTTGGCAAACAAGTTCTTCCCCATGTCTCCCGTAGAACTGCCCCAAGCCCACGCCTCCGCGACCCGACGAGACCCGCCGCCTGGAGCTCCAGAAGGCTCACAGAGTCCTGCAGTTGCCGCCGCTGCGTCTCGGGGCACCAGTGCCGCTCCTGGCCCAGGATCACCTGCCGAGCGATCGGCGGGCCACGGCTCCGTGCTTTGCGTGGGTGGAGCCCCCAAAACCAAGGGGCAGCCTCAAACCAACAAACACACAAAGAAACAAAGAAGCAAAAACACAAAGAAACAAAGGGGGAAGAAAAAAAAACCGAAACAAAACACTAAGATATACAGATATACTGATAGTTTAAAGGGACGCCACCAGGAAGCCGTTGCCGGTTTCGGTTTCAGGGAATACTTGTTGCGAACCCCGGATGCTCAAGGGCGCGATTCCCGAAGCTGAAAAGATGCATGGGCCCTAAGAAGGCCCGGGGTCCATTGGAGAACCCTGGCCTCTAGGGAATCCACAAGGCCCGAACTCCCAAAGCCGGCCCTTAGGGTCGGAAAAGCGCTCTCCGATTTTGTTTGCCCCTGAGTGCGGACCTTTGGACGTGAGGCTCTCTGCGTTTGACTGCAGTGGACTTCAGTGTGTGCGGCAAGCCATGTTTGGTGGGAGGGTATCTGAAGTCGGCAAGGCAGGGTAAGCAAACCCTGGTCGAGTTTGATGAGGAAAGTGCATCCATGTGGAACAAATCATCCACCCACCCCCTGCAAATGGACAACTATTTGCGGGCGTGGTGGTTGCTGGCTGGGCTGCTTTCTTGGCACTGCTTTCGGGGGGCGCGTACCTGTTGGGAGCAAGCCAAGGCCACAGTTAAGCCACAAACAGCTTGAGCCCTTGTGATGACTTTGGGGAGCCCACTGTCTTCTCGTTCCTCCAACTGTCATCCACTCTTCCCAAAACCAAACTGGGTGGTCTTGGAACTTGGAACAACGAACAAACACCTGCTCCCCTTGTGGCTTCCTTTTTTGACCACAAAACGTTACCATTACAGGTGACAGCACCCATTGCGTAACACGTTCAGTTTTGCCAGAAAGGGAATCAATAAACTAGGGGACCATACCAAGGAATCAGCAAAACAAGGTCATCCAGAGCCAGGAAAGCCGCCGGATTCCCCTCCGAACATGGCAATCCGTCCTGGATGGAAGGCCAGGGCAGCGCACGCAGGCGCGAGCAAAGGCTATCCTCCAGCTCGCAGTCCTCCTCAAGGTCCTGGCAGTTCCGTCACTTGAGTTATAATCAAAACCCGGTAGTAAAATGGTCTACCCAGAACCATGTAAAGAATTAAGAAGGCGGCCGCAACTATTTTATGGTTGGGACTGCCCCTCACTAACCTTCATCTACCCCGGTTTTGATTGTAGCTCACTTGCATCTTCGGCCAAGTGAGGAAGTCAGCCACTTGGGCTACGAATGACAGGACCAACCCCACGTGGTCCCAGACAGGCGATGAGTTTGCCATCCGATTGTGCTCTACGAGTCCCACCCTTCCAAAACGCCTCCCCTTTGGGAAGAAGGGGTCGGCAGAATTCAATAATAAAGCCGGCAGCCGGTCCGGGGGCTTCTAAGTGGGTTATAACATGGCTTTCCAACAGCTGACTAACTTGGCCGACCCAAAATAGAACTTTTGGGCCAGACTTGGATCCCCTGCAACGAGTGAACTGTTCTAATCCTATCAGGGAACTTTGGTACGGATTTTGGAGAGATCAGGAAGCTGGTCTGGTATGAATGGAGATTTGCATTGTTTACAATGTGTGGTTTATTTATGTTCAGCTATTTGTCTGGTATGTATTTTGGAGGACGCATGGCTACGCCCAAGGCCTGCTGATTTACAAGACTCAAGTTTGGAGACATGCCCTAGCTGTGCAAACTGAGTGGGACATTGTTACTTGGGTCTCTGTGGGGTCCCTGTAAAACAGACCAACAAAAAGAAGCCAGTCATTTTGCGTCACGCCAGGGGCAAACACAGACATGCCTGTCTCATTTGACTGGTCTGTGTTCACTCTAACCTTCAGCGCAAGCCGCCACTGCAACCACAAACAATTGGCGCAACGAACCACTATTTTGAAGGACAACAAACATATGTATGAGCGAAATCATCGTTTACGACTTCAGATGTCGGGCTGAACAATACAAGATCCACAACATAGCGCTGCTGGGGGGGGGGGGGGCGGGGGTAATGAAGACAGGCAAGGCTTCATGATCCACGTCGATTACTCGGAGAGTCAATCCTTATATTTGCAGAGTGGTCCTCCGTGCAAGCTACTTGCCTGGACATGAAGGTTCCGTTTCCAAGGTCCTTCTTACGTGGGAAATTCGCGTCACCACGCTATCACTTAGGAGGGCCTTGGGTAGCACATCAAGTGGCTCCAAAATCAGGCTTTTCACAACCTCCCTTCGTTCTGTGCAGTAACACGTGTGCAACCGCTGGGCGCGCGCAGCCTTGATCTGCACCAGAAAATCATCCAAGTTGGAATCGCCTCAGTTGTCTACATCCCGTTGCAGGTGCTGAACTGCCTGCAACACGCAAAGGTTCTTCCGGCTGCAGGGGGCTGTACGGAAAGCTTGCCAGGCAAACAGCAAAACAAGGAAGCTTTGACTCCTTGTCTCTGGGGTGGGGCGGGGTGGGGTGGGGTGGGGTGATAAGCGCTCGTAGCACGCTTCTTGTAGCACGATTGACTTCGAGTTAAATTTTCCTCCAGTGGCAGGTCGCGTGTACGGCCACCTGCGCGCAGTAGTTTCGCGTTTCTCCTCCTGCGTTCATGTTTGCGGGGGGGTGGGGTGAGGTGGGGGGGTAAGAGCGCTCGTAGCACGCTTTGGCTTCCAGATAAAAATTCCGCCAGTGGCAGGTCGCGTTTACCACCACCTGCGGGCAGTAGTTTCGCGTTTCTTGTCCTGCATACATGTTTGCGGCGGAGCGCTTGTAGCACGCTTGACTTCGAGTTAAATTTTCCGCCAGTGGCAGGTCGCTTTTACCGCTGCCCGCGCGCAGGATTTTCGCGGACGGATGCCGCGCGTGGAAACGATGCCGCGCGTGGAAACGCGCGGCGGCTGAGGCTGGCATAGATTTTCACGAGGTGCGGCACAGACTCAATGAGTTGAGTCGCCTGGTGCAACAGGCCAAAGAGCCACTGCTGGCTGGGACAGAGCTGCTAGATAGATGTTGGGGGATGTATAAAGACGTCATGCCCAGCCAGATAAGAACTAAAAGTGCGAAGTCTGGCCTGCTGGATCCGCGGGTGTGGCAGTGGGCGTGCAGCTTCCAATTCAGATACAATGCTGGAGCGGACCTGTGGCTTAAGGTTCCAGAGGCCCTGAAAGCAGCAAACCGAAGCGGTGTATGAAAATTGCAACGGCGGCCCGCGTGGCGAACGTCGCCGTGACCGTCTGTTTATCTCACCGTTCCCAAGGACAACAACCAAACAAAGATCCCAACTTAGATCAGGGAAGCTGATTGAAGCCAGCCAAGACAAGGCGCGCAATCTCTTGCGGCAGCGCTCAAGGGTGGCCTCTAGCGTCAGCAAGGGCGGCTCGCTCATGATGAGGTCTGCTACCTGGCACGTCGGCGTTCAAACGAGTGACTGCTGCGAGAGCAGCGTTCAAACCGGGTAATTATCAGCCATCTCTCAATTTCAGTAGCTGTGGGCAAACAAGTGTGTCTTTTGGCTCGCTCTGCTGAATCAATGCAAACAAAACAAGCGTGGGAAACAAACCAGCTCTGGAGGTGTGGAACTTCGAACGAAAAAGGGGCGGCTAACCAGCACCATGCCTCCCAGAGCTGGCAAGCACAACTGGTACTTTGCACTAAAAGGCATGTACGCAAGTGCTTAGGGATAGTACAGTGGGGGATCAAAATTCCGCACCAGTTGGGATGGATGAAATACTGTAAATACTGGGTTAAACCATCATTTACCATCTGGTGCAGGAATTTGTCCATCCACAGTAGGGCTACGATGGTTTGGCTCCGTTCTACCTTTCCCGTCGGTCGGACAGAAAATAGAACATTGAAGTCCCGGCGATGCAGTCTCAGCAAGCCCCTACCAGGCTGCGTGCTTGATGGTAGCTGGGGGGAGTTGGGAGAAAGCTGGCCAGTTGTTTTTGTACAAGGGCTTCACCCCTACCAACCAAATCAAGTTGCTGGCGGTGGCAAGGGGCTCCCACCCCGTTGCCCCAACAAAGAAGCAAGGGGCAGTGAGGTTGCAAGCAAAACCCTTTGTATCATTTGATCCGATTTGTCAATCCGGGGCCAATACAAGACCTAAGAACCCCCCGCCTCGCACATATTTGGGCGTGTCTTGTTGTAGGAACCAAGACGGTGGCGATGGTTTGGTACCCCACAGCATTCCAAACATAGTAAAGCACTGGTTTTCATTCATTGCAACAAACGAAAAGGGTTCCTGAGCCTCAACCTCCTCCCAGCTGCGCCAGCCTCTCGATCCAGCTTCCGTAGCAGTCCCAAGTCCTGCGAGAATTGGGGCATCCCGAGATGATAAGCCAGCCCCCCACTGTGCATGTTCAAAGTTGATTGCTCTCTTTCGCCGGCTAGACAGCGTCCCTGGTTAGCGTAGTGCTGGATGCATCGCGGCAGCTGTGCGTCTCAATGCGTGTCTGCAAATTGCAATGTGGAACCTCAAGCTGACGACCCCACTTGCCTTCCCTCGTTCAATTACCCCAACAAAAGGTACCAACCAAAGAATTTTGCCAGCGGGGATACACAGGTTCTTCTTCTTCGTCTTCTTCTTCTCCTTCTTCTTCTTCTTCTTCTCCTTCTTCTTCTTCTCCTTCTTCTCCTTCTTCTTCTTCTCCCCCCTCTTCTTCTTCTTCTTCTCCTCCCCGCTCTTCTTTTCAAGTGTGTGTTTCGAGGCCGCGTTTTTGGAGGTCAGTACCCTTGACTCGTGCGCGCGTAGCTCCTCGGCTTCCAGCAGCATCTCCCGCTCGAAGCGGCTCCGGCGCGCGCGGAAGGCGGCCTCGCTCTCCCGGGGGTCGGAAGGGGCGGCACAACCCAGGGGCCGAAAAAACAAAAAACTAAAGAATACACACAAACAAAAAGAAAAATACAAACACACACACACACACACCAACAAAAAGATAGATCGAAAAACATTCCAAAAAGAAAACAAATTGGGGTGGATGAATTTGGGGGTCAACTAAGACTGGGGCGCTGGAAAGACATGACAAATTATCCATCCTCTTGTGCCTCTAATAATGGGCCGCTGGGAAAAACATGGATACATCTGGGCCGCCCGATTTCTGATACCCCGCTAAAAGTCTTCAAATTTTAGTGGGTGAAATATGGAAACTACCACGAAACACTAAAAGGCTAAAAGGCTAAGGGGATGGCTGGGAGCCACCAAGAAATGATCCATGGTCTTGTGCCTTTGATCCTTTGGGGGGTAGAAGAAAATGGTGGGGATTCAAGGAAGATTACCCCTGCACTTTAGGCTTCCTTTAGCGAATTCACAATTGTGGGCTATCCAGCACCCACCCAGGAACTCAACATGCTGGTCAAAGGAACCTCGCGGACGCGGACCACTTTTCGCGTGCCGAGACTGTCTTTTGCCCCAAGGGCCTAAGTCATTGGAATCAGAATCGAGACCCTACTAGGTCCTCCAGTAGAGGTTAGAATAAGGGTACCCTTTTTTCTGTAGTCGATTTTAGTAGGGGAACCCTCCCCAAAAAAAGGTAAAAGGGCACTACTGGGGGACCTAGCCTAAAATACACATGTTCTTTCTTTGCTCGTTCAACGCTCTGCGAACTTGGGAGGGCTCGACAGTCAAACACTTCTTGTTTTTGCATCGAGCTTGTTTTGTCACTCCTACCTTGCTACTCCGTTTTGCATGACCGAAGTCGAACTAGTAAACTAGGTGACATCATTCATGCATTACGCAGGGGGCAGCTTAAAAGTACTGTTGTTCACTGTTGGAATCCATGACGTGCTACTCCGTTTCAAGTATTCTTATCGTTCACTGTTGGGGCCCTAACTTCGCTAACTTGCTACTCTGCGTTCCCCGAGCAAAGATACTGTGTTGGCATCCCTGACTTGCTACCCCGTTTTGCACAGGTGAAGATTTGCAGACGCTATTGCAGCTCCTAACCTGCAACTGCGTGTTGCCTTGAAACAAGATGCGTGCGGCTGTTTTGGATTGGTTCACATAACAGACACTTTGACTTTGGTGCTCCTGAGCAGGCAACCGCAATTACAAACGCCACCACTAGTATGTTTACGCACGGTAACTTGTTGCCATCGTCCTTTCTGCAGCAACTTGAATGCCACAAACGGAAGAAACGTGTAGGGGTTCTCGCTTCCCGAACCCTGAAGCCCTCCTCGAAACATGGATTTCACCGGCGAATGAGTGGAGTCCATTTACTTTGATCCCCTATGATCAAACAAATAGTTATCTTTTGTTGATCCGGAATAAAAGGGGGGGACCCGGCTTGACTAATCCCCTGACATTAACCTCACTTGCGAGGTTGAACAAACATGCGATCACCTATTGAAATTCAATCTTGATTCAACATGGTTGCCAAATTGCACACCAGAAAGGTCGCAAGATCTGTGTTGGGAAAGCGAGTAACATAAAACCACGGACAAGGGAATGAACAATATTATATGATTGGAAGACCACCACTGTGTCCTGCATTACAATCGTTCAGGTACAAAAAACGTGGAACATTTCACCCAGTTGTTCAGTGACCCTAGAAGAAAACCGGGACCGCTTTTTGGGTTGACAATGTCACCAAACCTGGACCCACCAACTTGTGCGCAGCGGATTCTTCCATTTGCTTAAGCCCTTGGAAAAGACAACCATGATTCCAGTAGTGATAGATTCCCTTCAAAAAGCCAACAGGGAAAATAAGTAAACGGAAGGCTTTGTCCAACCACGACGTCAACCCCTAGTGGTTTTCAGGGGGGCCCCTTCTTAGTTGGGTTCCTTTCCAGGACCCCTGATTTGGGGAATCCGTGCCAGGCCGCATCTTCTGCAGCGCTCTCCAGCTGCGGCTGGTACAGGTTCCGGGGCCTCGATGGAGCGAGGAACCATGCGCTTACATTCTCCACACCGATGCCCCGTCAACATGACCCCTTGTTGCTGGACATTGCCCCAGCAGAAAGCCCGCAGTGGAGAACGACACACCTGAAATTGATGATATGTGCAGATATCTGTTTGTCTCTGATGAGCATCTACTGGAAAAATCTGAAGTGGGCAGTGGAGCCATGAACCGCTCATTTTACCCCCGGCTGTTTGCTGGCCAATGGTTCGACTGGTGCCACCATGACCAACAGGCACTTGGGCTGGAACGAGACTTCCACCGCTTCAAAGGGAGGTGATCATAGGCCGATTCTCCCAACAAATCGCCTTGCCCAAGAGCGCAAGGGTGAGGAACAACTTACATACGTCGCTTTATGACACTCAATGCAAACACATCGCTTGTTGCGCATGTTCAAGTAGATTCTCAAAGCTCCAGCGCAACAAATCCAGTGTTTTCCCGGAAAACTGCGGCCGGCATCTTAACAGCAGCCCTGCAATGGAACCATGGCTCTTTGTGGGGGGTCATTCTTCGGACACCACCAAAACAAGAGGCAAGCAAGTCCCTCTAATCCTTCAGCTCGTGCCTTGACCCTGAAAGCAACTCCCAAAGTGCGGTAAAGCCAATCACCATCTAGGCCGAGCATCAAGTGCTCTAAGTGGAGCAAGGGGCACACAAACACTTATATTTGTCATTCTTCCCGCACGGGTTGCCTAGTAACCCTGGTAGAACAAATGTGGATCCCTTTGTGTGGCTGATTCCGTGTGTACTTCCCAAAAACAAATCTAGGCCTGCTTGTTCCCATGGTGGGAAACCTTCATTTGGGAAAACATTCCGATTGATCCGAGTTTACTTCTCCAGGCTCACCATTCCTATGGTGACAACTGGCTCGTGCTGATTCGACCTAACAAGATCTTACTTGGGGGTTCAAGGACGCCCTCCGAATGAGGGGGGCTTATTCATCAAGGGGTTTTCTCAATCCTGGGTTCCCTCGCGCGCTGCGCGAGTTGGTTTTCTGAAGTAGTTTTATCACTTGCCCAAAGGACCTGTCAAAGAAAGGTTAACCTTTTGGGACCTCTACTAAAAATAGACTCAAAAGGGAAAACCAAAAGGTCAACAGGTCGGTTTTGAACAACTGAGCTTGTTTTAAAGAAAACCGGCAGGACACCCATATGCACACATACTCTGAGCCGCAGGCGGTGGCGCTGCGGGGGGCGCAGCCTTCACCTCAGCCGCTTGGTTTGCTGCTTTTGCCGTGATTGCCCCGGGTTTTTCTTGGCCAAGTGCTGCTTGAGAAGCAAAACGGCGCATCAAAAGGGCAAGCATTCATTGTCTTTAAAAGGAAAGCTGGCAATGTTGCGGGATCTGCTTGCCATACCTTCCACGGAAACACTAGGAGGACCATACATGTCTGTAGATTTCTTCCAATCAGTGCCAAGTCGTCCAAAATGGACGGTAAATAGAAACTCTCTCGAGCTTGAAACGCGTCTTCCTTCGGACCCTTTGTCGCTGCGCCTAAGGCATTCACAGCCAGCATTTCGGGCTCAACATCGAGGGGTCGCGGCCTGGCTTTGTTCTGTGGGTTGCTATGCTTTTGCAGCAGAAGACCTGCATCTGGCCTCTAACCTCGTCATCGTCCAACCACCAGGATTCTAGCAAATGTCAGAGGTGGCTCCTGTCAATGGTAACGCAGAAAAAAGCCGAAGGCTTGACCGCGTGCTGCCCTGAGTTCTGGTGAAATGACCTGCATGGAGACCCCAGGATGCGCCAGGTACATTCCCCACAAGCGACGGCGGATGACAACCGTGTTTCCTTTTCGAGATGTTAGCGATTATGAGGGTTTGCCAGTCCTTCTCCAACATATTTCTTGGAATGAGTGTAGGGGGGGGCCTGTCATAACCCATAGGAAGGAGCAAGATTTACTTTGTTGGTCAATCCTAATTGTTTACACTGTATTGATGCGTGATTTGGCCTGGGATGGGTCTCATGGAGAACATGCCGGATTACAACAATGGGAACCTGCTGTGCTGTGTTTCTTAAGTAAGATGTGTTTTGGGTGTGGCTCAAAATTCAAAACCCTAGGGTGATGCAGGCTAAGTCTTTGATTCCATTTACCAAGGTGCCAGTTTGGTACCACTTTTGGAGCCACTGCCTTTTCTACCATTCTACAACACCGCGCAGCTCGGTTAAACAACAAAAAAACGACGTGCGGTCGCCACAAATCCGGATACCCAGAAACATTGACTGCAAGGGCTCTGGCCATAAGCCGCTCCTGGCTGAGGCTTGGGTCCCGCAGAGACCAATTGGTGAATGAACTTCTGCTTAAGCAACTGTGGATTCAACAGGTTTCAAGGAGACCCAACACTTGTAGAAACCAGCCCCACTCCGAAGAGAGGTTCTTAGAACAGGGATCCTGAGAAGGGATTCTTAGAAGCGCTTCTCAGAAGAGCTTGTGGAACCGGGGCGGGGTGGGTGTCCTAGAAGAGAATCCCTCGCAAGCCCAAGTGGGCTCGTGAATTCCGCCGGACCGGTCAGCGTTGTGTGGAAGCATTCAAGGGTTGGCTCCACGCGTACAAACTGAACGCCCAAAGGCCTCACCGACTGAACGCCCACGCGCTCGTTGATCAATATTACCAGGGTCCTGATTTACAGCGGGCCCTACAGTAAGCCTCTGTGTCATGTTGGGCGAAATGACGCCAGTGTGGCGGGACACGCATGGAAATGCAGCATCCCGACGAACTCTTGGATCTGATGAGTGTGCAAGGCCATTTCTCACTCTCTTGTTGATCACCTCCTTGCTGTCCTCCAGGGTGTTCTTCGCCCCCATGTCGCAACAGGCCCTTATCAACAGCCTGGTGTTGGTGGTGCTCAACCCCAAGTATCACAAGAGCGCCGGAATGGACCGCTTGATGGTCATCTCGAGCTCCTTCATGATGGTCTTGAGAGACCGGTAGCTGCTGTCCAACCCAACTAGATCCCTGGCTTCCTGCCTTTTCTTGGTAACAACCTGGAAACGAATTGAACCAACAGACCAGAACGGTAGAGGTTGCGATCTGTGCGTTCTATCAAATAGTACTTTTCAAGCCTTCGCAAGCGGCCAGACTTGTGCTGTAAAGCTGATCTGCACATGATCCCCGGCCCCGGAATTCAAAACCTCGAGACATTGCTTCCCTTGCGCCCAAAAGGGGGTGATGTGCGGGGTAGGCCATTTTTAGGGGGTACGCCTCTGCATTCAGCCCAGTTGGGGTTGGGATACTCCGAGATTCCAACCCCGTGCGTCTGGAGTTCAGGAAAGTCGCTGAGAATCACAGGAAGCATGCTGCATGTTCCTTAGGTTGAGAGACTCCCCGCCCCCCAACCGCAAGGGAGGCTTCAGTGCGCAAGCACCTCTTTCTGGCTGAATTGTAGTAATTCACACACAAAACAAGGGAACCAAGAAACCTTACTCCTGCACCAGCGATTGCACAGAGAAACCCAAAAAGGCGTGGCCATGGATTTTTCATCCATGGATGGCGAGCAGCTCAGCGACAGCTTGCGGCCTTCTGGGGTTGTTCATTACCCGGTCACGGGCCCTGCTCTTACCAATTGGATCGACTCGACTTTCGGCTTTGGAACCCCACCTGCAGCACGGCTCATGGAGAGAGCCCCATGGGAAATGACATGAAGACACGCGAATTCTCGCGAGGCGTACACTGAGTGATGCATAAGAGGGGCTTAAAAAGGGTTCTGCAACACAAAAACACATTGTTCACTCCTGGTGACTTTCCAGGAAAGTTGTGCATAGCCATACGGGTCATTTACAACCAATACAATAACTCGTACGTGGGCCATGGTTGGTGGATTTGTTTTTTCGCCCAAAGGCCGTCCAATGGGGTCCCTTTGTTTTGCGGATCGCTCAGGTCTCTAAATCTCTGCCTGAGATTGGTCCCGATGGAGTAGAGATCCAGCCGATTCATTCCAAGCGTCTTGCGGTGTGCTTTGCGAAGCTTGGGGCCATGAAACTCAGGCAGACTTCTACGGACTTCCTTCGGCCACTTGCGCCGCCTTTCATGGCCCTGAGCGCCTGAGCCCTACCTGCAAACAATCTGCGAAAACCCCGCGCAGCCGAATCTGCGAAAACGCGCTAGAGTCCGAGTACCCCGGATAGGTTTGTATTCATCTGTGTATATATATATATATATATATATGTGGGCGTGCCTGTTTTTAGGGGGCCCCAAAGACGGATGGCTTGGTTTTTGCCTTCCTTGTGACACCACACAAGGTGCCCTGAAAAAAAATATAGACAATCCATATCTGCGAACGTGAAAGCTCCCACCCTTTGGGCAGAAGACCGTCCTTCCTCTTGGGGGTGCCCACCGACTTCCATGTTACCTAGGATAGATTGTTGCATGCCATAGAACAATTGTAATGCACATAAACGAACTATACAGGGTACAACAGCAGGGGCATCCACTCCAGAAGCACCTGGCTGGGTCTTTGGACAAAAGGTTTGTGCGACCGGCCCTCGCAAATCCGGCGATCAATTGCACAATTAAAGGGGGGGAGAGAGCCTTGAATGTAGTCGATGTTCAATGTTGGCCACAGTCAATACCTTCTGCAAATTCGAAACAGGAACACATGCCCGTGAATGGGTGTGTCGCAAAATAGGGGACACCTGCAAAGCTTGGTCTTTCCAGCGGCTTCCTTTGATACAAACCCTGCACTCAAAATGTGTTTGACAAAAAACCAACCTACGTGCATACATGTCAATTGGGGACCCTTTGAACATCGTTTAGGGGTGTGGATTTATTTCCACGAAGTGGGGAGAAATTAAGTCCCCAAGTAAATCCATAGCGAACATATACTGGTGTAACAGAAGCTGCAATTGCGCGACTATCGCGCCTTGTCCCGGCTTTTACGAGATTTCGGATTCATCTTGCAGGGGCAACATGATCCCCCAGGGGTACCTAGCAACGGGCCCTTGCAAAACCAGCAAGCAAGGGAGCACCGTTCAGAGATTCATGTAAGACACCAAAACTTCGGGTCAGTCTGAAGAACCGTCCTAAGTGGCTCCCTGTTAGCACGGGAATGATCTATTTGCGGGAGGTTCTCTGACTAGTAGCGTCCTGCAAAATAATCCGAAGCAAACATTAGCAAGTTTGGCAATATGGCCTGCTGAACGTGGCGGTTTTAATGGGAGTAACGGGAGTGCATGCTGCAAAAGTAGAGGCTCACCTGTAATTTGGGGCTTCCCCCTGCAAATAACCCACCAGCGAAACCGTGAGGCAGCTTGCATGACAGGTTAACATGTCCGCATCGCTTCGGCCGTGCATGCTGCAGGGAAGCACAAGCATAAACAACCACCACAAGTCTGAATGCATGTGCTTAAGCCACGACAACTATCGCAATTGAACCACACAACTGCATGTCGAGCCCTCTCTCCCGTAGGCTTACTTCACCACCTTGCTGCAAACTTCAGCTGCTTCGAAACGCTCTCACGCGCGACTCTCGGACTTTTAAGCGCCGAAGCACCGAGCTTCCAACTAATTGCTGGAAGCAAAGTGAGGTCTCGAACTACATCAGGCGTCGGCCCCTGGGTGCCAAAACCATGGGAAGCGTGACTAAAGTTGACTAGAGCCTTGACCCAAACGACGCAAGCTGCCGGCATCGTTTTGAAGTTGGCCCACTCAACACGAGAGTGTTACAGGTTGTGGGTCGGGTAGTTAACTCCTTCTGGACTGAGCTGCAGCTGGGTCCTACTGATTATGCCAGGCTGCTTGGAATTATGGATCCAGCCACCACTTAGCAAACAAGCAAACAAGCAAGCATACAAGCAAAGAAGCAAGCAAGCAAGCAAGCAAGCAAACAAACAACAAAATAAAAAATAACAACTGACCACACACAAGATGCCACAGTTTGGCTTTGAACAAGTTAAGCGGTTGCGTCCAACTTCAGCACCTTGCAGCGGCCAACGTCTGTGGCAATGCGGGGCAGCGGCAACCCGCGCCGCACAGCTCTCCACGGATGTGTTGCCATGGGTTGGAGGTATGGAGCTTACATTCACCACTTTCAAGGGTTGTGCCGTAGAATGTATATACATATAGATGCACAATTCGGTGTTCGTGTTGTTGAATCACTCATTCCAGGTGTATTGGTTCATGTAGCTATTCATATCACATGCCTTACAAGTCTCCATTGGTGCAAGGCCTCCATTTCGGAGTTGTTCATTCGGACTATGAATCACCTGCAAGCAGAGTGCCGGTTGCAGGTGGCCAGAGGGCCATGTGCTCTCATAAGGATCATAAGGGCCACATGCGCTCTGTTCAACCTGGGATGCTGAGGTCGCAAACCCCTTTTTGCGAGGTTACCATAACTTGCCCAAATACATTGAACGACCCAGCGCTCAGCGAGTAGGCATGCGTCACATGCTCAACTGGTAGCAGAGTCAACGCCGTGGAACGCAGAATGCCAATGCCGCACTGCAGATAAAGCAACGCTCTCCATTCGGAGATGGACCTCATTCTCTACCGCCCGGTGGGTTAATTGTGCCCAAGTGCGAATTGCCTGCCCGCGCCGAATGAAACTCGAGTTTTGTCGGCGCTAGGCAGCTAGCGCTCAAGACACTGCATGCATGCCCCTGGGACGAACGCCCCTGTAGGACGATAAACCAGAAGTCTTGGCGCGCCGGGCAAATGAAAGAAATGCAACCTGAAAAACAACGACCTTTCCGACTTAAGGGCAAATGACCACAGCTTGACTTCCCACCGCGGTCCCAGATTCCCTGATCTGGACAGCCCAATGACTTGCAAATTCAATCACGCTTGGGGTCACGTGGCGATTTTCATCCTCTAGCCCAACTTACAAGAGATGACCCCCCAAAAGACACACGAGGTGCCTTGTACTTGACGGGAGGGATTCTTTTGGACTCTTTTCAAGAGGTTCAATCCCCTCCTTACCAAGGGGGCATCAATTCGCCCACATCTGGAAAAAAAACACAATGTAATCAGATTGTGTTCCACATTGGGCCTATCGTAAATTACAAGCTAGTTTTGGAGGAGACCCCAGAATTGGGCGGGGATGGGGGGGGTGGGGGGGTAGTTTGATGTGGTTTTTCACGCCACAAAACAAACACAGCCCAATGCACCGCCATGTCTGGCTCCGTGTGCTCGTTGCCCTGCGCCGCGACCTCCCTTGACAAAGTCTGGCCCGTACAAGCCATACAAAAAGCCATGCTGCATGGCTGAGTGCAAGAAGCGCTAGCGCGCCAGGCTGCATCAGGCTAACACCGGTACCCGGTTTTGACCCCATGGGGAATGCAAGGACCGCTAAACTCATGGAGTAGAGAGCAACTCGTTCAGGTGGCTGCAATTTAGCGTCCCTCATCCCAAACTGACCGGAGGAGGCACTACCCCTGTCAGAACATTCGGCGGAAGATAGCAGAACACCGGCCTACGATGCAATGTGTGGTTGCAGGAGGATCGCTCCAAAGATCTAGAGTACCTGCGAGCTTCACATGGGCAAGCTTACGCATGCTTTGAGGCTGCCCATTTCATAGTGCATTCGTGCAGGAATACGCTTGGAATAATTACCCAAGCTGACTACCTGATCCCTTAGAACTTGACCTGATTCGTAGCTGCTATTCACAACGTCCCTTCCTTGGCTAGGAGCAAGGGGACAATGCATTGATGCGTCTCGGCAAATCTGCACGCTGAATGTGGGCAAGTTTCAACCTGTCCCCAATGACAAGGGAGAGTCACATGTACACATTCTAAGGTGCCGTCTTTGCTGACCGGGGCTAATCAACCTGGCGGATATGTAGGGAATCACGAACAGTCTTGAGGTGCCTCCTCCGGAGGAACGATTCGCCAAATATTGCAAGCCAACCAACCAGCAACCTCCAAAATATGTCATGTGGGTTCTAAGTAGTGTTGTTTGTGTTTCTTCCCAGACTTCTATCTATGACAATGACAAACTCGTAACCCCCCGTTTTTGTGGAATGGGCTTTCTAACAAAGAGGTGGTCACTACAAAGGGTGCGGTTGTGCTACAATTGCTCCCTGCATGCAATATTGCGCTGATAAAACAACTCAAATCAGAAAACAACTCAAATCAGGGCTGTGGGAAAAGACCACTTCTGTGATAAAGCCCCCACCCACACAATGGGGGAGATTCCCTTGTACCACAGAGGTGGTTGGAGATAAACCTCTGGATCCAACACCCCTGACTCAAATGCATCTATCACCAAAACAGCACACCCTTTTTTCTGGGTATCCGGATGCTGATCGCCGAATGCGCCAGGTGCGCGCTCACGCTGCCCCTCGTGCGCTCAGTCTTAGGAGCGCCGAGCGAAGTGAAACGTTTCTTTCTCGTGACCTCGGTCCGGAGAAAAAGAACACCATTCTAGGGGTGCCTTCCATTTCCATTCTTTCCAGGGATCCTTCTTTTCAGGAAACCATCAAAAACCCAGGGGGAAACAGCCGGTTTCTGAAAAACGATGGTTGAAAAGAATGGGGAATCAACCCCTAGAATCATCGCCAGCAGTTGTTCCCCAACTGTGGCAGTTTCTTTGGGAAACATTCTTGATCAACGCAGACTTGGCTCGTGTCGAGGACTGGTTTTAACAAGCACGCCTGCAAGTTCAAAGGGAAACCCAAAACAGGTGATTGCTTTTGCTGCTTCTGCACGAGTGGTTTGACAATGGTTCGACACGAGGTTGGCCCTCCCAGTGCAGGCATCCTTGACCAAATGACTGCAAATGGGCTTAGGGCGCTATACTCATCGCTGCTGCGTGATGCAAAGCAGCAACGTGTTTGAAACATCCATTTTTGCCTGCGCATCCTTACGGGTTGCCGTCCTTCCTCTGGTTGTTCAATTAATTGGCATTGACAGCAGTGCCGGATTCGGTGACGGTGGCGTCAGTGTTTGCATGTGGCTTCGCATGCATGGTTTGGAGGGTGATCTCAGGGCCCAGGATTCCAAACGCACGCACTGGAAAGAGCATGGTGTCCGGGTTAAGGTGCTCACTCAAGGTAGCCACACCAAACCCACAGTCACGGTCAATACCCAGGGCTTCTCAGGGACATAATGAGGCGGGGCCGCATGGGGTGGAAAGGGAAGCCCAAAGCAAAGTCAACCGGATGTTGCTTTTGTGGCGGGTTCCTTACGTTTGGAAACGCTCATAGCACGACCAGTGGGATCGAGCGAGTGCAAAAAGAACCCTTTTTGGCTCGCCATCTTTCATGGCCGACTAACGTTTCATTGGCTCGAGGTCAAGCCCTTGACAGTGTCTTCAAACAAGGCGGAAGATTCTCACAACCCACCTTTTTGAGCGAAATGGCCAAAACAAGTCTAGCTTTGGTGCTTAACGCGAACATGGTCTTCCGCAGAAGCTTTAAAGCCCGGAAACTGGGTAAGTGAGACAATGGCAGGTTCTGGGAGCGTAGTGTTAAACAATCACCAAGCAGCCCCAAACAATGACGGAGCCATCCCGAAATGGACACTTGATATGGAACCTTGACTACACACGCTTGCCAAAGCAGCCGCTTAAACCTTATAGACATCCAACAAATGGTAGTAAAAAGCCAAACAAACCCTGAAAGGTTCCACTGGATACCTGGTTCCTTGGCGTGCTGCATGTCTCACGTCCCGCGCGGCTCATCGCTGACGTTGACGATAACCTGCGGTGCACTGGGTGTCCACGCAGCTTGGTAGAGCAAGAAATGGGGCACTTCATTTACTTCTATTTGGTTCAGGCCCCACTTTTCAAACCAACAAGAGAAAATAAGACATAGTCTCAAGCAAATGGAGGTAAACGACCACCAGACAGGGTAAGTGGCTAAGATCCCTGGCGAGATCTCTCGCAAACGTCTTTGTGTCTTCAAGGCCCCACCTATTAGTCCAGTCATTGCTCAGAGACTCGCTCAAAGGGCGGGAACAATGGGCCGGTGAGCTTCCATGTTGGTAACCTTTGATCACGGGGGCTGGGGGGGCCAGCAAGAGCTCGCTTGAATCATGCTTCAGCTTCGTCCAGCTTGGTGCAGAAGCTTGGCGAAGCTTGGCGAAGCTTGGCGAAGCTTGGCGAAGCGTTCAACACCCGTGGCCCATGGCAAAAAGTGTTGGCACCAGCAGCCACTGCAAACACCAAATAACAACAGCTTGACAGCTGAACAAGCGAGTCATTCCCACAATCATATGACCTGAACAAACTACAATCAGTCCCCTGGAATTTCGGCATACACAAGCAAGGGTCCTTTATGGATGCGCTTTTATCCCCAGAGCTCATGCTTTTTGCAGAATGGTCAAACCAAGTCAGCACTCAAACCATTGAGATCAGCAGTGGGCACTCGCCCTCCTTTCCAGTCATAGGTGCAGTAGCTGGGGACACCATCATGCAAGACGAAACGATACGATGCCTCCGTCCAAGGCTGCATCTTACATGTACCCTCCACGTTGCCATGGAACCGGTGCTGAAGAACAACTTTTCCCTTATCAGAGACCCTCTGGTTCCATGGCAACGGGGACAGGGAATTCGACGGTCCCTCGACGGTTCCCACATCCACACGTTGCGCCTCATCTCTCTGAGCTTGCCTGGCCGCATTTTTGACCCCGGACTGGAAAAACGGTCCCGTCGATTTTGGTTGAACAAGTCTGGGAGAAAGAGCCTCTACACGTCTTGAAAACAATTCGGAAAAAAAAGGGGAGTCAAAATGCAAAGGTTGTTGGGGCAGGCAGGCGGGGCTGCCGCCTGAGCCCATGTTACGCGGTTCACGCACCTCTGAAAGAAGCACGTGCAGCTGCTTGCAAAGAGCCTAACTGCCGCACTGCCGAGAGAGAAAGCAAGCGTGAGGCTGGCCGCACACTGCAGTACGACTCACTGGCACTTGGCAAGTCCTGCCTGAAGTTTTCAAATCTGACTCAAAAACCTGTCAGCCTCATCCAACTCTTCACTCCTAAACGTCATGACTTGATCCTTGGGTGCTGCTGCATGTCTGAGCCATGGGGCCACGCAACCCCGACGCGCCTGGTCTGCCAGCGGGGCGCTTGGTTCATCTGGCCGGGTCAAGTCTACCACTACTCCGGTTCTGCAGATGATGCATAAGTACATATAGTGCGTCTTTTTGAGGTACCCCCCCAACATCCCCCAACGGTGGTGTTCCTTTTAGTTTCCCTTTAAAACCAACTAAATGGGTACCCTCAAAAAAAGCCGCATGTCTGCATAAACATGTGTCTATCCAGCACCAACATTGGGTTGTTGCCGTGCCGATTCCCCGTAAGGTTCGACAAATTGACTTTGGAACATCATGGGCCCTATGGGCAACCCACACCGAGAAGCAACAAGTCAATCTTTGAGTTATTAACTCTGAGCTAGCGCTTCACTATGACTCATTTTGGAGGAGACCGGAGGCGAAGAGGCGACCACATGGGTGTGCCGTGTTTTCGAGGGGCACCCCCCTTTTCTTTCTCCGTAGGCTTCAAAAAAACACCGAGAAAGGAACCACGCAAATTCGGGTTCCCCTCCAAACAAAGAAGAACCGAGCCCCCCAGCTGCCCCCTTTTTGCTAGGCTTGAAAGGGCCGGACAACCGCCGCACATTCGGGTCCCCCCCCCCGGGGAAAAAAACAAAAACACACACACACACACACAACACACACACACACACACACACACACACACACACACACACACACACACACACACACACACACACACACACACACACACACACACACACACACACACACACACACACACACACACACACACACACACACACACACACACACACACACACACACACACACACACACACACACACACACACACACACACACACACACACACACACACACACACACACACACACACACACACACACACACACACACACACACACACACACACACACACACACACACACACACACACACACACACACACACACACACACACACACACACACACACACACACACACACACACACACACACACACACACACACACACACACACACACACACACACACACACACACACAACACACAACACACAACACACAACACACAACACACAACACACAACACACAACACACAACACACAACACACAACACACAACACACAACACACAACACACAACACACAACACACAACACACAACACACAACACACACACACACACACACACACAACACACAACACACAACACACAACACACAACACACAACACACAACACACAACACACAACACACAACACACAACACACAACACACAACACACAACACACAACACACAACACACAACACACAACACACAACACACAACACACAACACACAACACACAACACACAACACACAACACACAACACACAACACACAACACACAACACACAACACACACACACACACACACCAGCCACCCCCCATAAAAGGCCCGGCTGAGTCGCCGAGAAAAAAAACATTCCGCGCCTGCACGTCCAGCTCTGGGGGGCCCACCGGCAGCGGCGGGGGCTGCCGGGGCCGCGCCATGAAGCCCGCGGGCTCCATGGGCGGCAGCGCTGGGGCCGGGCCCGACCTCGGCTTCCGTTCGCGGAGTCCGCGCGCGCGAGGAGGAGGTTCCCTTTTAAAGGGACGCGCCCGTTTGGGCGGGTAGAAACCCGGTTCCTTTTAAAGGCGCCCCCAAGGGCGGGTAGAAATCCGCCAAACAAAAACAACAACAAAGAGGGGTTCCATTTGGGTGGGACCCGTTGGCTCAAAAAGGGGCTTGGTTTTTGTCAGGGGCGCAAAGAGGACATCAAGTGATAGGGTCCCACATCGGCTGCTTCAAAGACCATGCGGTAGGGGAAATCAACGATATGCCCCTGGGAACCAAAGGAAAATAGAAAAGGAATCCTAAGCAATTTGGGGTAGACATGTAGGCCTCATAAAGCCATTCGCACATGTTCTATGAGGGCTAGGGGCAACCCTGCTAATATTCAGAAAAGAAGCAACTCTGGCAATACCCAGGGAAGAAGCGAATCCGAAAGGTCAATACAGCCCATGGCCACTGTGGTAAAGCTAGGGCAACACCAAACATACGACCAAATTTTGAGCCAGAAAAGGTCAAGTATCTGCGTGGGAGCTAAGCTTAAGCCTTAAGCCTAAGCTCTATCGGGTATGGGGTGCGGCAAAAGCATGATCCATCCCTGTGTGGGCACGGCCCCTTGTACAAAGGGAAGCCCTAACCCCAACCCCGGCCCTACTCCCCCTGCAAATTGAGATGGAAGCGAAAAGGGGCCCCCCCAAAAGTCCACAAGGAGACGGCTCCACAATTCAAGTGTTGTTTCTACTCTTCTTCTTTCTTTTTTTGCTTGGGAGGGTTCATGATGGTCTTTGTTCTTGGGTTTTTTTGTTCTTGGCTGCTGTTGACCCCTCTCCAAAGGGTTTAACTTGTTGTGGGTTCAATGACAAACCCTTGAATTTCCAAGAGTTTAAGTTCAAAGACCCAACCCAGCAGCAATCAAGCACTGGTTTCTTGTTCATGGGGGGTCTTCGAGCGTGCGCCTCAGCCTGAAGATCTCCAGCTCCGACATGGCGGCGCCCTCGTGAAGACTCGCAGCCGCACGGCTCAGCCGTCGCTCCTCACGCAAGCAATGAACCGGAGTGGCAGCAAACTGAGGGAGGGAATCGGCCCCAGCTGCTCAGCTGCTGGTCCAACAAGTAATAAGCTCAGGTGATATCCCCAACAGCACGCGGCGTTATTTAGAGCTGCCCCAGACCACCGAGCCCTCGCAGAACGTTGCGGAACCGTTGCGGCACCTTGCGAAACCCTGCAGAACCTTACCTCCCAGTCGCCCCGGACCCCGGAGCCTATCTGGGCAACCCCAAAGGTTTCAGCTGGGGACAAAAACCTGTGCTTGACTTGGGGTAAGCGCACATCCACCCAGTTGACAAAGGGGACCCAATTCTTTGGGGTTTAGCAGGGTGCGGAAGCCACCGAACAATAAAGGCTTTTACGGGTACAACTGAAAAAACAATGGGTGTTAGACTTTCCGCCTGAAAAAAATGGAGGATTCCGCTTGGTCTGTTGGCAAGGTAGTGTTTGACATGTTCAAAGTGTACCGCTTTCAAGCATCCATTTGAGGAACCTCCCGTGCAGGTTCACGGAAGGAAATAAACAAAACCCACAGGGAAAGGAGCCTTTGCATGCCATCCATGCTAACCTGCAGGAAGCGCAGGTTACTTTGCAGCCGCCCCCCTCCCAACAACACTGGTCAGAACACATCGCTGCGTGGACAATCCTGAATATGCCCACGTTCAGACAGCACAGCGTTCAAAGAGGGATCCCGACTTTTTGAGGGGAACTGGGTCTGGTCATCAAACACTGCACGTCTCCAACGCAGCTCTTAGTTTCACTCCGTCTGCTGTTCCCTCCAATTGAAGCCTGCCCCGCACGCATCGCGTACGCGCGCGCTTTAGCTGGCTCCTGCGTAGGGCTGACTTCCACACGCGCCTGATCGAAATTCGAGGGGTTGATTCCGAAGCCGGCTGTGGCCCCTAGACACTGGCCGGCTCCTTAGGAAACGCGAGGCCAACAGGAATCCTGGAATCCCTGTTTCCGTTGATCTAGGGGTTGATTCCTTTTCCATTCTTTTCAACCATCGTTCTTTTCAAAAACAGACAATTTCCCCTGGGTCGATGGTCACCTGAAAAGACGGATCGCTGGAAAGAATGGGGGTGGTACCCCTAGAGAAATGCCGTTTGCGGCAGTCAGTGACGGAAATTGAGGCAATAGTGCCTTGCTCAAAGCGACTCTTTCTGGTTGCATCGAGGGGCGTGGAGACTACGCAACTTGTGACACGGCGGGCCTCCCATCCCGACTTCAAGTAGGGGCCAGGAAAATGTGGTTGCCAGCAAAAATGTGAGTTCAGGTGTTTGCAATTTGCGATTGCTTGGCCAGCTGATAGCCTCGGGCTGGTAAATGAAAATTGGACCTGTTGTTACTGATGAGTTGCGAGGCCAAGCTTCAAGTGCCCACTTTTGCATTTGCCACCCTGTGAGGCCAAAAGTTCTGCTTTGGGTGGGGCGCTGTTTTGAGGAGGCATATAGGAATCCCTTTTCAGACTTTGCACTGAGAGGTGGCCCTGCACATGCTTGAGCCGGCACCTTGCCACCTTTGCGGTTGGTTCGATTCACATGGGACAACCACTTCGGACCAGAGTTGGCGGGTTGGCCCAACTCACCAGCAAAACACATCATCGTCTCAAGCCGTGAACCCGAAGCGTCATAGGCCAGTCGCCCCCCCCCCAGGTTCAAAGGGCCTGGTTGGGCGCTGGAGGAATGTCCCGCCTCATGCGGAAGCAGGAGCAGCATGGGTAGCAAAACTTGCATCTTTCTAGTAAAGGTGGTTGAGTAACGAACCTCCAAAACTTGGGAGGAGGGTAAGTTTGCATTGAACATGTTGAACTGCCTGCAGCAAAGCTAAACGAAAGGCATGGCTAAAAAGCCCTCTTGTTGCTAACCATCTTGGAGCAGCCACTAACGCGCACATGGACCCACCTGCAAGCACCACCTTTCCAGCACAAAGTGCAATAGGAATCCATACTCAGATGCCCAGTGGATTTCCATGGGGGAAAAAAGGCATCCTTATTTGGTTGGCTGACTTTAAAGGGAAACCCTTCCCAACAAAAAAGAAAGGAAACAAAAGGAAGCAACCCACTGGGCAACTGGGCAACTGGGAATCCACTTCCAGGAGTGACTTCGCTTCAGTCTCATTGAGCTGAGGGATCCGGATCGGAGCAACGTGGCCGTAGCCAATCGCTCGCTCTGATTCCCCTGTCCGCCCCAAGCCTCCTCCAGTGTGCCCAACAAAAGACCCGAATGAGAACTCAACGCCTATTTTTGGAGGAACCCAGGCGGAGGGGGTTCGGATGCGACCGTTGCAGCCAATGAAGCGACGAGTCAAGGAAACTCTCGAACCCAAAAATGCGCACATTTGCTTCAGCCAGGCATCCTGCGCGTGCCAAGTAAAGGGGAAACTAGAAAAACAAAAACAGCCTCTCCTTGCAGGAATTACAATTTCAGGTGTTCGGCACCCTGGCTGGTACCTACCCTTCAAGGCAATCTTCATAAGCATCTGCAGAACACCTCGTTTTGGGGGAGGTGCTTGGCCAACTATTTGAAACATTTTGCGAAGCAGAGATATTGTAAATCCAGATGTGTGTAAAGTCTAGTGGTTCTGCCTTTCATCTCTTAACTCAATTCATCCTCATGCTTCACTCCCTCTGAAGTGAGGGAGCGGTAAGAGATGAAAAGTTACCTATTCCCTTCCAAGCCTCTATTTGCTAAATAAAAAGAAGGGAATGGGATGCCATCAGGAATGGCTTCACTTCTCCTTCCCATGCCATCTCGATTCCTAGCACCCAACGCACCTCTCAGGCATGTTTCTCTCGGTTTTGCACATGGGGCCCAGCCTTGCAGGACCGCTCAAAGACAGGCACATGAGGAGTTGTCTGTCTTGAGCTTCCTTTCCAAAATTGCGTAGATGTGTACATGTGATATGTTTCGTAAATAAACCACTGGTGTGGGAATCCACAAACATCCCCACTAAGAGCATTGGTTTCTGCTCAGATCGGCCCATACGGCCCCGACAAGGGCCCAACACAAGGGTAGGATGCTACGCAAACTCACTTGCCCCGTACGTACCTGGACAAAGGCGATCACCTTTTGGGGACCTCTACTGAACATTTGTAAAGAAAGAGAAACCAAAAGGTGAACAGGTCGCTTTGCACAACTTTTCCCGGACTTTCCCGACTCGTCATGCCATCGCTTTTTGAAGCACCGAGTGGTTCTCATCACGCTGCCGCTCCTTCGAACCCGTTCCTCTGGGGACGAGGCCGGCCGCGGCGCGCAGTTCGAGCGGTCGGAAGCTCCACCTCGGACGCGTCGAGTTGGTTTGGGGGGACTTTTGGGTGGCTCCGTTAACTGAACTCGGTTGCTTTCTGCTCCCCAAAAGTGACTAACTTTTAGTGGTTTAATGGAAAGCCCATGAGTTGGCAAAAAGTTAAAGTCCTAACATCCAAGCAAAAGGCAACAAAGTGAAGCGAGCCCGGGTTTGGATGGTATGCAACAAACAAAATCAGGACAAAACAGAAAACCAGCTGCCACACCTTCAGGACCTGGATTCCGGATGCTGTGACTGTTAATTCAACCCCTAGAATCCCCAAAGTACGGTTGGGCCAAGACACCATGCAGGTGTCCCAAGGCAGTCTTGAAGGACAGCGTCCAATGCTAAGGACAGCGTCCAATGCTAAGGGCCCTCGTGGGAATGGTTGATGGGATCCAAGACCCCTGCCCGAAAGATCGTCGGTTATGTCGGTTGTTGCTCATTCATTGATGTTGAACCGCGCAGATTGACTTGCGATTCGCCTCAAAATCGGGAACCCACCTAGATAGTTGGAATCCTTTTGTTTTCCTTCAAAACCAGCCACTGAGGCGGGGTCTCCAAAAACGAGTATGATTATTTAAGTCGTTCCCCCCGAAATGTGACCCAAGCCACAGAGAGACTTGAGGAGCGGGTGAACGAAAGCTAGCAGTTGTTGCATGAGATGGGTCGGTGACAGAGTGGATTCATAGGTAGCTTGTGTACAACGAGAGGCCCGGCAAGATTCGTAGGATGCGACACGCAAACGCACATGGTGGCGTGGCAAACCTTGAAAAATGAACAACGAGAGGCGTCAGAAGCTGGCTTAAAGCACCTCTGGGTTCTGCATGCTGCGTGTGCAAAGATTCTTGCGAGGTGGTTTACCGAGAAGACTGAGGTCTCAAATGAACAAGCTGAATCGGTGGAACATGTAAAAGTTCGTAGCACCAAGTCCAAAACGGGCAAACCAAGACTGCTGAACACTGAGCCGCTGCCTGGGGGGGGGGATGGACCAGGGAGGAATCGAGCCTGAGACTCGGGGGGGGGGGAGGGGGGGGGGGGTCTAAATGATTGATGTTTTTCAATCTTTTCGGCTCAAACAATTGAAAAAATCAATCTTTCGGCATTTGAGCCCCTTACCTTGCTTACGCAAGGAGAAACTTCAGCTAGCTAAAGCTAGCTTTCGTGATTATGGTTCTTGGTTCACGCTTTGAAAAGAACCTGACTTGCAGCACTCAAGACATGAAAGGGAACACAATGGAACACATAGCGACGACAGCCAACGCACAGGGCTCAAGTTGAAAGGCCAAAGGCTTGAGAGTCTGACAAGTTCACTTTAAGAGACTCGGTAAACTTATAAATTGCTGTGATGCTCCATTCCCCTCCCACCAATTGACATGGAACCCGACTTTCGGGGGGTCCTGGAAGACCATCTTCCTTTTAAAGGGACCCCCTTCCTGGAGCGAAAATCGTTCAACCTGTCAATTTCCGAGTAAGGTATCAAACAGCAGAAATCTATGTCATTGTTGGATTTGTGATGGTTGCGAATTGGTTAATTTATTGGACTTGCATCGGTCAGTGTCAGCGACTACAACTAAAGTTGGGGTCGACAGGAAATTTGTTGGTTTAGGATTGGTGTTCTCTGGACTAACTTGACTAACTCCAACTTGGTTTTGGAAGACTGAAGACTCGGGTCAGGTATACTCATGTCTATTTCAATTGAATGGGTTTATGTCCAGCCTGTAAGCCACCCACACAAAGGCTCGTGTGCTTCGCTGTAAAACAAATGCTCCTGTACAATCTGCCACGCCAAAGTGACGAGAAAAAAAAGAACGCTCCGCCACGCCAAAGGGCTTGGTCTCAAAAGGGGCCCTGAACAAGCCGCGGTATTCGTTTCCCTTCCCGTGCGCAGGCCCTGGAAATCCGCCAGGTGGGTGTAGATCCCCCAGCAAACGGTTTAACTTTTTTGCCGGTTGAACGGACATATGAAGGGAATCCAAATTGTTTAAGTCTAAAGATCCAACCCAATAGCGGTAGAGACATCCGGACAGATTGGAAGGAATCAACCGGACCTTCGTCCTTGACCGCGTTCAGTTTTCCCCCTGAAATCGGCCCACGCGTGCCCACCTGCTGCTGGCGTTGTGGCCTGCGCCTGGGTCGTGGATCTAAGGAAACGCCACGGCCAGGCCTACGAGAAGTTGGCAAACTTCTAGGGGTACTTTCTGGGATCCTTCTTTCCAGAAAACCTCCAGAAACCCAGGGAACACGGCAGGTTTCTGACAAGAACGATGATTGAAAAAAATGGGGAATCAACCCCTGGAAAACTACCTTGAAATCCAGGGAAAGGAACCGGTGTTTAGGAGGTGCCGGTTGTATCCAACCAAGGCGCCCCTCCTGGATTGCTTCTAGCCGGTCTTTTGAGTCCAACAACTTCCACATGTGCCGAAATCCAGGGCATCCAAGCGGCTTGAACTGGCCTTTGCCTTTCAGCCTCGTGCCAGTAAATCGCAACCTGCACCGCAACGTAAACGCTCAATTCCTGAGTGTCTGTCTAACCGGGTCTGATATGTGAGTTTCCTACTCGTGTGGACTTC